ACAGGTCCAAGAGCAAGGCGCTGCCAGGTTCTTTCCCCCCAGAAGCTCCAAGAGAGAATCACCTCATGACTCCGCCCAGCTTCTGGGGGCTGTGGAAGACCCTCTGCGTTCCTTTGCTTGTGCACACGTCACTGCTTTCTCTGCCACCATCTCTGCTTGGCCTTTTCCCATAATCCCCCTGTGCCTTTCTCTTTAAGGACACATGGCATTGAAATCAGGATCCTCCCTAAATACAGGATGACCTCATCTTCTGATTCTTAATTACATCTATAAAGACCATTTTGCCAAAGCATGTCACATTCCTAGGTTCTCAGGGTTAGTTCTCAGAATATCTTTCAGGCAGCAACTATTCCCCCTCAATATATATTTTTAAAGATACAGATACATTTACCTTTGATCCAAAAATCTCACTTCTGAGCATTTAGCCTAATGACATACCTCTACAATTTAAAATAACCTACACAGTTATTAATAGAAGCACTCTTTGTAATTGCAAAATACTAGAAACTACTTTTAAGTAGTTTGTGGGCTTTTAAGCCCACAAAGGAAATTGGTTGACTAAACAATAGAGCTCCTTGAAGTTGTAAAAAGAAAAAAGAGAGAGTGCGAAAGAAAATGAGAAGGGATTTCATAAGGAAGAAAAAGAAAAAAGAAAGATATAGATATAGATATATACATATGATGTTTGCCTTTATCTAAAGAGATACCAGAAGTAGCCAGACATGGTGGCTGTAATTCTAGCTACTTGGGAAGCAGAGATTGGGAGGATCACAGTTTGAGGACAACCTGGGCAAAAATTCGTGAGATTCCATCTCAACCAATGAGAACAAATCTGGGTATGGTTGTATGCACCTGTAATCCCATCTATGAGGGAAACATAGGTAAGAGGGGTTCTATCCAAGGCCAGCTCTTATCTAAAAATCACTAAAGCAAAAAGGGCTGGAGATGTGGCTGAAGTGGTAGAATGCTTGCATAGCAAGTAGGGGCTCTGAGTTCAGGTATCACACACACGCAAAAAGTCTAGATCTTATGCCAGGCAGGGTGGTACACGGATGTAATCCCAGCACTCAGGAAGATAGTGAGTTCTTGCCTAGCCAGGACTATAGCAAGATCCTTCTTCAAAAAAACCAAAACAAAACCCTCCGATCTCCATTAGCAAGCCGGACTTTGTGTTTTTAGCTTCACCTGACCCTTGTCTTTCTTCTCTGGACCGTCACCCCTTCGGTCTGCCAGTCATGTAACACACATGAATAGCCTGAGGAAATAATGATCTTTACCAAAATAATCACCATTTTACTTGAGATCAGCAGAACTGAGAGACATCATGTGGCCAGAAGTGTGTCAAGGGGCCACCTCCACCTGCAAGAAGGTGCCCACCAGTTGGGATCACCTGTGTCCTATATAAACTTCTCCTCGGTCAGCTTCCTGCTAACATGGTCCTTTAGCAGGCCAGCCTACCGTCTTCCAATCAGCTAGCTCTTTGCATAGCAAAGCTCGTCCTCTGCCACCATCTTGCCTCTCCACGGACTGGTTTCTGTCACGTGGCGTGGCATGGAGAGACCAAACCTTGCACAGTGAGAGCATTACTATCTCTGCTCGTCATATCAAAGACACGATGTTTTCCTCCCAATTTTCTTTTCTTTTGCCTTTATGTTACAGTTTAGAGCATTATTCTTGTGCTCAATTTTATGGGTAGATCATATATATGCACATAACAAAACTGACTTAATAGCCTGAGAGGTCTGAGAAGTTGTGTCTCTGCAGCCTGGCACTGAGTCTTCAGATCAGTCCCAACATTGGGGAAACGCTGCATTTACCTTGAAATCGGCTCTGCGTGGTAATTAGCGATCCACCTGTCTGTCTCCTCCACTGGATGAATCTTCCTTGGGAACAGAACAGATATTAAACACATCTATCCCCCCCACAGTAGAGCTGGGTTGGGGGCTCAGGATCAGGGTGAAGTCCACCATCACCTCTCTCTCACGTGGTGTTCTGGGCCTAGAGCACTCAGAAGTCCCCTCACCCCTCCCGCGTTGGTGAGTTTCAGGGCAGAGCCTCTCCTGGTGAATTCCCATCCTGTCTGGGGCTGCAGGAGGAGCTGGGGAATGCCGGAAGTCTCTCTCTTGGTCTTTGGTTTTCCAGAAATGCCACCATCTCTTCACAGTGTTAATCAGTAACAGCCCCAAGAGGGATCATACTTTGGAATAGCAAATATTTGCTGAAATCTTTGGGCTGCAAGGCTTACCGTTTTCATCTTTTCTCTGAATGATCGTCCAGGCACCAGAGGCCCACACTGGTAAGAGGTGGCAGATAACAGGGAGACCTCCAGAGTGTCTAACTGGGAGGGGAGGTGCTCTTGCCATCTCTGGGTGGGCTCCAAGGTGAGGAGTGGTGGCCGGGTATATAGAGTCCTCAATCCTAGGCTCCCTGGGGACTGTAAACCCAAGCTGGGTCTGGGAGGAGCGAGAGGCGTGTCACATACAGGAGCGTGGCCAGGCTTGATATTTGGACCGCTGCAGCTTCACTGTCCAGGTGAACGAGCCTGCCCCTGCTTCTGCTTCTGCCCCCTCCAGGGCTAGAACATTGCACCAGGTCCGAGTGGCAGGTGAGTGACTGATTTCTTGCCTCTGTACGGGAAGGCGCCCTCACCATACTCCATGGTGCCCTCACCCAAAGATCCTGAACTGTTCAGACGATGAATAAAGGCCTGAAAGGACAAGGTGGGACTGGTCAGTGGGCAGGGGTGGGAGTGGCTGAGTGTTGAGGGGCTGCATTCTGCATACTGAAGACAGCTTCAGGACTTGTGAGGGGAGACTTAGCACTGGGAAGGGTGGCGTCGAGCCAGTGTGCTGGAATAATTTCCTGATGCCTGTAGCAGAGAGAGGTAATTCTGAATCCAGGGGTATTCGACTGTGGGCTTGATTTACAAAGTAGCTCTAAATGCTACTAATACAACTGCCCTAGTTAGCTCGAGCTGTCGTGACAAAATGCCTCAGACTGGATGCTTAAACAATAGATATGTATTTCTTACGGTTCTGGAGGTCCCAGCTGTGGTGCCAGCATGGTTAGAGTGCAGTGAGGACCCACTTCTTGGTTTTCAGATGGCTGCATTCTCCCTGTGTTCTTGGAAGGACAGAGGAAGGCACTAATCCCATCACAGGGGCCCCACTCTCATGACCTCATTTAAACCTAATAACTTCCCCAAAACCCCACCTCCTAATATGGTCACTTTGGGGGTTAGGACTTCAACTTATGAATTTTGCAGGGACAAAGACATTCAGTCCATGACAATAATGAGGGCATCAAACTGGAGACATTTGGTACACGGAAGGAGGCTCTGACTTACAGAAATGGAGTGACCTACTAAGTGTGCTCTTGCCATTTAAGACTAGAAAGCATTTCCTAAGCAGTGACCTTTGGGAAACACAGCAGAAGTACTTTACTGAATAAGGCAGTGCCACTCAGGATGCAAGGAGGGGGGCCTCGATTCTGTGGCACCATGTAGCAAAGCAAGGGGCAATGGACCAAGTCCTGAGGCTTAAGAGGACTCAGCACAAGGGAGGGGTGAGGATAGGTAAGACACCTAAAAAACTAGCTAGCATTTGTTGCCCTTCACGTAAAGAAACTAAAGCAGATACCTTAAAAGCAACTGAGGCCAATAGGAGAAGGGGACCAGGAACTAGAGAAAAGGTTAGATCAAAAAGAATTAACCTAGAAGGTAACACCCACGCACAGGAAATCAATGTGAGTCAATGCCCTGTATAGCTATCCTTATCTCAACCAGCAAAAACCCTTGTTCCTTCCTATTATTGGTTATACTCTCTCTTCAACGAAATTAGAAATAAGGGCAAAATAGTTTCTGCTGGGTATTGAGGCGGGGGGAGAGGGAGGGGGCGGAGTGGGTGGTAAGGGAGGGGGTAGGGGCAGGGGGGAGAAATGAACCAAGCCTTGTATGCACATATGAATAACAAAACAATAAAAAAAAAAAAAGAGGACTCAGTCCCCTGCATGCAGGAGAAGCAGCCTGGGAGCTTCTGAGACCTTGTTGTCACACTTGGCTGCTGGGTCCCCACATCACAGTGAAGGTCTCTACTGATGGGAAATCAAGAGGCCTGAAGCCTCCCTCCCTTCCATACTGCCTGGGTGCCCTTTCCTACCCAGGCCCTCCAACACTCCAGAAGAGAGTGAGGAGGTGGGATTGGGGGCATCTCATGGGCTGCTCAGCCACACTCAGGGACATAGACCAGGAACTGAGTGCGTACGTACATAGCCTGGTGGCAAGTGCCTAGAGGGTCACCATGAGAATTGATGAGACTGCACAAGCCTAATCCCCAAAGAATCAGCTGTGTCCCTTGCTGCCATCCTGGGAGCTGCAGCTGAAGACCCACAAGGAACTAGGCAGGTGAGGTGCACGGGGAGGAGAAACTTTATAAAAAAAAAAAAAACCCACATGGGGAAGCTTTCCTGTCTCCTTGCATGATTGCCTCTCAGACTCTCCAAATCCAGCCAATGTGTCACACACTGAACTCCTGTGGCCCAGTGTGGAGGGGCTGCTTTTCTGCCAATCAGAGGCAATGCTTGAAGCAGATCTGTGAAAGGTTTATGAGGCCCTGATCCCACCTGACCCTATTGTGCCGCCCACCCCACGTTTTGCTGCCTCCCATCCCCAGAGAAGAGGCTGTGTGTGCCCTGGCCTTCAGGGAGGAAACAGAATGAACAGAAAAGGGGACTGGAGGACCACAACCTGCCCAAGGCCCTGGCAGAGGATGGGGACTGGTGGAAGTTTTGCCCTGTGAAGTCTTGCCTGCAATTTGGGTGGACAAATGCATTCCTTACCTGCTCCAGGTTTCTCTTGGCAGGGCTCACCTGCATGAGGGTCCCCACAGGAAGGAGGTGGGTCACTGCATTGCACGGAGGAGCATTTCATTAGGCATTGAGACCATCTCTGTCCCCTTTTCTGTCCAGGAAGGAAGTGGACCTTGGCCTCTGCAGCTGACCACATGAAGGTGCTTCCCAGCCTCCTGCTCTCTGTCCTTCTGGCAGGGGTGTGGCTGGTGCCTGGATTGGCCCTGGGCCTTCATTGGTCGGAAGCCTGGGCAGGAGTAGAGACTCAGGGGCACCAAGCTCCTCTGAATCAGACTTGGGAGGAAGTGCAGGCTCCCCCCGATGATGAAGGCAAGGAGACCTGGCTGAGGGCCAGCGAGCAGCAGCTCTCCAATGAGACCTCGAACTTCGGGTTTAGTCTGCTGCGGAAGATCTCCCTGAAGCACGATGGCAATGTGGTCTTCTCTCCGCTTGGCGTGGCCATGGCCATGGCAGGCTTGATGCTGGGGGCCACAGGGGAGACCAGAGCCCAGGTGGAGAGTGGACTCCACCTGCAGGCTCTGAGCCAGATGGAGCCCAGGCTGCTGCCAGCCCTCTTTAGGAGACTCAGGGAGACCCTCTCCAGCAACCGGGAGCTGGGTCTCACCCACGGGAGCCTGGCTTTCATCCACAAGGATTTTGATGTGAAAGAGACCTTTCTCAATTTATCCAAGAGGTATTTTGATACAGAGTGTGTGCCTACGAATTTCCGCAACGCCTCACAGGCCAGAGGGCTGATGAATCTCTACATTAACAAAGAAACTCAGGGGAAAATTCCCAAACTCTTTGATGAGATTAATCCTGAAGCCAAATTAATCCTTGTGGATTACATCTTGTTCAAAGGTACTCTCCCAAAGCCATAGGTGTGATCACTCTCTTCCTTTCCTTCCTCTGGCCAGCATAGGGTCAATGCTAAAGGATTTTCTGTGGATATGTTCTCAGGTTTCACAGGCACATTAGAGCATGCGTTGAGCAGTGCCGGGTACGTTCCTCTGAGGTCCTGGCCCTGGTCACCCCACGTGCCTGCGGTCCTTATAATTTCCACAGCACTTCCACCCAGCTCTGGTATTTGGAAGAAACAGCAGCATAGAGTTTGTTTGTTTTAAAGCATATTATCTGAGAGACTTAGGATTGCACCTTTGCTTCTTCAATCTCTGCTTTTTTGACCTAGAGCAAGTGGCAAAAATCTCTGTCCTTGGCTTTTTAATACAGAAAATAGGGACACTCCCACCTGCTATGGTCATGAGCCATGTGAGCTAATGAACGTGAAGTGGCCAGCTGGACACCATGTATACATGACCAGTTTGCATTTGCTCTTCCTGACTGCCAATGCAGCCGACTGAGCAGGGCTGTTGTCTCCTTCCTAAAGGAGATGAAGGTGAAGGTCAGAGAGGTTAGCTTGGTCAGGGACACACAATGAGTACCAGAAGCCACACAAGACACGGGGTGCCTTCTGACACCCTGGGCCAGGTTCTTCTAGCTCTGCTTCTCTAATGGGGCACAGGACGTGGTGTGGATACCACTGGAGCAGAAAGCCAGCACCAGGAGACTTGCAAAGCCCAGGGTAGGGAGTCACTTTTCAGACATCCAGGAGATAACCCATGACAGACGCTCTGGTCTGTCATGCATCCACCCTCTGGTGGCTTGCCTGCATTGGGTGGGGGGCTGCTCTCAGAATCACATAAATCAATGGATGGGCCAGAAACACCACCAATTTGTGGAATGTGTGTGTGTTTGAGCTTGGGCGTGTATAGGACAAAGTGGCAGTAACGGAGTCCCTCATGCAGATGAGGGTCAGTCAGTGGCCCAAGGGTCCAGGTCCAGACTGAGGAAAAGAGGGGACCAGGAGGAGACATATCCTGTCCAATGAGGATAATGGGTACAGCTGCATTTTAAGCTTCGGGGAATGTGTCTGGCCTGCCTGAGCTGTGGCCCAAGCAATCTAGCCTTTCCTTGTTGGGGTGAAGGGATACAGACTGCTATCCCCTCTGACGCTTGGGTCAATGCTTTTCAAGAAGGCTGGTTTCTGCATAGGCTCTTTTCCGACCTGTTCAGGGAAATGGCTGACCCCGTTTGACTCTGCCTTCACCGAGGCTGACACCTTCCATCTGGACAAGTACAAGGCAGTTAAGGTGCCCATGATGTACAGGGCAGGTCACTTTGCCTCTACCTTTGATAAGAATTTTCGTTGCCACATCCTCAAACTGCCCTACCGAGGAAACGCCACCATGCTGGTGGTCCTCATGGAGAGAACAGGTGACCACCTGGCACTGGAGGACTACCTGACATCAGACCTGGTACAGACATGGCTTCGGAACATGAAAACCAGGTACGACCCTCCCCCACTTGTGCAAACACTTCCCACAATTTCATCCAACACCCTGTGGCTGAATGCCATCTCCCCCAGGCACCTGAGGCATGGATCCCAGGGCCTGGCTTGTCCATTCATTTACTCAGCAAGTACTTAGGAAGCTCCTCGTGCTGTGATACCTACACGGTGCTAGGGATACATGCCAGGGATGCTTCTGACAGGCGGAAGCCCTTGCTGCCCCCGTGGAGTTCAGGTTCTAGTGCAGGGAGACAACACAGGAAGAGGGCAGGAGCAGGTAGGAGGGTCAGCAGGGTGCAGGTGGAGGTCAGGGAAGGCCTCCCTAAGGTGACAATAAACAAACATCTGAAGCTGGGGGTGAACTGTTTGCATCTGTCAGGGAGAGGATTGTTAGAAGCAGAGATGGGAAGGTTCTGGGATACAGGGTGCCTGGCAGGCCAGACACCTGCAAGGTGGCTAGTAAGGCTGCAGCCAGTGAGGTCAGAGAGGAACCAGGGTCCAGCCACCTGGGACATCACCTCACAAGCCAGGAAAGACTTGGGCCTTGTCTGGGGCAGGGGCAGTCAGAGAGTTCTGAGCAGAGGCACACTGTGATCTGAATGAAAATCATACAAGCTCCTGTGTTGAGAAGGGACACCGGTGAATGCAGCAAGGAGGCCCGCCAGGAAAGTACTCTAATAATCCAGTTAAAACACTGTGGCTTAGACCATGGTGGTGGTGGTGGAGGTAAGGAGGGGTTGAATTCTGAGTCTACTACAAGGTGAGAGTTAGAAGAACTTGGGGGCAGGAGACAGACAGAAAGACCCATCAGTCAATGGTGACTGCAAAGTTATGGCCTTAGCAACTGGAAGGAGGTCCAGTGAAGAGTTTGGTCTTTAAATTTGCACCCAAAATATCAATCAGGCACCCAAGTAGGGATGTCAAGAAGGCACCCAGGCTTAGGCACAGGCTGGAGATAGGAATCCTGGAGTGATCGCATAGAACTGGGACTAAGAACGAAATCTCTTGAGGAGGCGTCTCTGAGTGGAGAGAAGGGTTACAAGCACAGAGTAGGACAAACTCAGAGGTTGGTCCAAGAAATTAATCCACATCTTGGAGTATGAGGAAGGCAGCTGCAACAGGAACCCCATGGTCGTGCCTTTGAATCTTGCCAACTCCGAACCTGTTGCAGAGACGAGTTCAGCTAAAGGGCCCTGCTGTTGGTTTTATCTTTGTTATTTTTCTTTAAATCTTTAGTACCTAGCAAAAGACCTCAAACATAAGGCCTCAGAAATGTTTGGTGAGTGAATAAACTATATAAATTAATCTCTAGGACATGTCATGTCTCATTATATTACAGTCTGACAGCCTAGCCCAACCAGAATGGAAAGAGAGAGAGAGAGAGAGAGAGAGTGTGTCAGAAGTTACTTATGAAGTCCCCATCATTGTTGTAACTACTTAGCATGCACGTGTTTTCTGAACAAGCCTGGGAAACTGGTATTGGTATTTTGGGTACACGTCACAGAATAAGAAATTAGGACTTAAAATTAATTTGGTATCAATTAGTAGTTTTCATGGTTTTTATTTCTGAGATGCAGAACTCATCCTTCCAAACATATTTTTGGAGAACTCAAATACAGAAAGTAGGTCATCTCAGAGTCTCCCTGGCTACAGATGTAGGGGTGGAAGTCCCTTTGCTCTCCTCACCTGTCCCTCCCGGGCTGCTCCTGGGAGCCCTGGATCTGCAGGATCTGTGGTTGGGAACAGCATCTGCTAGAAGGGTGCAGGGAGCAGTTGTTGGGTTGGTTTGGGTGGTTTTTAAAACACAGGGAAATGGACGCAAGGTATGACATTCTTTGCTAAAAAGAATGTGACTGATGAATAAAACCAGCTCACTGAAGCTGAAGTCCTAGTCTTTCATGAGCCACAAGTATCCTCCCTGATATCTGTTCTGAGACAGACCACTAAAAAAAGGAGGGCAAGCACTATACACTGCCAACTGAAGGAGAGTCCTTAATGGAAATAACCTTGGAGGAAGGAAAGAAAAGAAAACACGTCCGTTTCAGCATTCCGACTGTGGCTTTGTCTATATTTCACCATCATCTGTCCTTGTACCCCAGGAAAATGGAGGTTTTCTTTCCCAAGTTCAAGCTGGACCAGAAGTATGAGATGCACGAGCTGCTCAAACAGATGGGAATCAGAAGAATCTTCTCATCCTCAGCTGACCTCAGTGAACTCTCGGCCACGGCAAGAAAGCTTCAGGTGTCCAAGGCAAGTCAGGGTCTGGATAGGGCCCAATCCTAAGCATAAATGCCACCAAAACCAACAGATATTTTGCAAACCATTTAATGTTGATAAAATGCCTACTTGTAGTAGAGAATCAGATTTAAAGTCCAACAATTTGAAATAGCTTCTGAGTAGGGTACTTTAAGAATCTCAAGCCACACTGCTAAATACTTTTTCAACTAAGTTCTCTTCCGTAAATTTCTCCCTCTTCACCCCCTATGCACAAGGAGAACTTTACCCCTGGAATAGACTGGCTTACAGAGTCATCATCACTGTTGAAAATTGAAAATGCTCATGAAATTATACAACCTTTAGATTGAAAGTAACCTCAGGTGTCACCTGGCCCAAGCCTCCTATCCCTTGTGGACATCTACTTTCTAGCACCCCTGCAGAAAAGCCCTTTGGTTTCAGTCTCTGTCATTAATGCTTCCAGTGACAAGGGAACACATCCCTTCTTTGAAAACCAGACAAAGCCACAAATGGTTAGTTTTTAAAAGACATATTGGCCAGTAACTTCTCCCTAACACATGTTTTTTGGTCCTCCTTCTATCCCTAAAACTACTGAACATGAGTTTAGCCAGCTTCTGCATTATTGAGATACACTTTGTGCTGATTCTTGAGCTGAGCTGGTGCCCATATGTGTTTTGAGCTTCCTGGGTCCCCTGAATCCTTGGAGACCTTCTGGTGTGTGGGGTGCCAGGCATGGCTAGTCTTTGGGGACAGCTCCCAGAGTCCCTTTAGCTAATCAGTTTGCTCAAGGGCAGGGCTCTTGGTTCTGAGGGGACTGGCTATTGTCCCAGCGGTTCTGTGCGCTGCTGGGAACTGGTAGCATTCCTGACCTATGTTCACTAAGGCCTAGTAGCTCCCTTCTCCCTCCCTATCATCATTATAACCAAGAAAATGCTCCCACAAATCTCCAAGTGACAGCCATGTCTCACTATATTCTTCCTTAGCCATTGGGTTTGGTCCATATTTCCCAAAACAACTGTAATTCTCAATTCCAAGAGACATTAAAAATGGTATCTACTTAAGCAGAACCCAGTAAGGTAACTCTGGCCACAAACAGGCCTTCTCATCCCAGGGGATGTGAGGCAATTAAATATGGCAGCCCTGCAGGCTGGCTCCAGTGTATGGGAGCTGGAAGTGAGATTCTGCTGTCTTTCAGAGCACTGCCATGGCTGCACATTGACAGCTATTGAACAGTCTCCCTGTTTGCTCTGAGGAATAAACCTTCACCCCAGGAAGGTTCTAGGTATTACTATCATTGATGTTTTTATCATCTCCTCTAATTATAAAGGTACATCATTCATATCACATTAGGTGATACACCTCCCAAACAGGCAACCAGAGCTCAAGAAAGCTATAGTGACCCTTGGCCTTGCCCCAGGGACACTCTCTGTGAAGACTAACCATGCCCTGCCCCTCCCTCCCTGTTCCACCTGCAAGAAGGAAAGTCAAAGTGTCCCAGCAGCTCAAAACATCTTCTAAGTGAGCCAGATCAGCTCAAGAATCAGCAGCAGCGCAAAGTATACGCTCAATAAATCTTCATTAGACATTTGCCAGCCAGAGTCCCTGACTCCAAGCCCTGAATGCATTTCACATGCTCCACACTGCACATTGCGATTGATTTAGACTTCTGAGGCATCTGGGAGCAGACAGGCTGTACCACTAAACCCCCAGAGTACGGCCAGGTGGGCAGGACCACTGTGCAGAATTTCAGGTCTCAATTCCCTCTCCCCACTGCCACACAAACTACCTTCACATCATCTCCTTTTCTAGGTCTTACAACAATCAGTGATTGAGGTGGATGAAAAAGGCACTGAGGCTGTGGCAGGAATGATGTCAGAAATCGTTGCCTATTCCATGCCTCCCATCGTCAAAGTGGACCGGCCGTTTCACTTCATGATCTATGAGGAAACCTCCAGGACGCTCCTGTTTCTGGGCAGGGTGGTGAACCCAACTCTCCTGTGACTCAGATGTGCACAAGCTGTCAGAGTGACCGCAGGTGCTGAACCAGAGGCTTCCCAGCCCACAGGGCTTTGGCTCTGGAGACCTTGTCCCCTTTGTTCAGCTAGTTTGGGGTATTCTCAGATTAACACAAGTATTAAATTGATACACATCTTAAAATGTTTGTACAGTCTGTCTGGCAGTCGAAAATTGTTCTTAAGAGCCTTTGTTAACCAACTGAAGACTAGTGAGGAGACTATCTCTACCTTTCTCTGCTGCCCACATACCTGGACTTTGAAAACTGTAGGTCACACTACTATTTCAGGATAAAGGCTTTGAGGGAGACATGTACATTCTCTCTGAGCCATGCCTCTCTTTCTCCACTTCTCTCTGGTATAAGCTAAGTGCTTTACTTCAGTCTATTATAGAATTATTTTTCACTGACTAGCATTAGTAGAAAACTGACATAATTATCCTGATTCAGGTATCTGGCTTGGTGATGCCCATATGATGCCATGGTACAGAGGCACCAGGTAAACCACAGATTATCCAGTTCAATGGTTTTATTTTACCAAAGAAAGAAACAGGGGCCCCTAACCAGAACAGGATCACACTATGATTTCCATGGGCACCAGGCACTTCTGCCTTTGTGACGCCTTTCCTTCATAAGATATATGTACACATGCATACACTAGCAGCTTCATTTTATAACTGCCTTGGAATAAAGACGAATATACTCTGGATTAGAATCTTTTTTTTAACCAATGCAAAGTATGTATCTTGCTTCTTGCTAGAAATGAAACATCTTCCTGGCCTTTAAAGCATGGTGGACTTTAGGCATGGTGCCCAGAAAAGACAAGTCAAACCTTGTATCTCATTGAAGGAAGACACTGGTCCAACATCACCAAGTGTGGCACTAGCAAGCTGAGGCCTGCCTCTCCATGGCCAGTGCCCAAGCCCTTTTTACTTCTCCTTCCTTCTCTAAAACTTATTTGATTGGTTCCTGCTAAACAGTCAGCATGTGTCACCTCAAAGTCACCTCCTGTGGTTGCACAGTATGTAAGCATGAAATTTGTCTCAAGAGCAAATACCCCTGAGACATTCTCAGGCAGTCATTTTCTGTCACAGAAACAAGAAAGTACTTTAGGAATAAATTCATAGATCTCTGAATGATGATATCAAATGCCTAATTGCATTCCTACCTGTGGCTACCTAAAATTAATCCACTGATCGGTTTTCCTGATTACTAACATAAATCAGAGTAACATTAAGAGGCAGTCTTAGACTGACTTCATCATTCCCAAATCTGGACATTAATTCGTTCCTGCGGACCCTCCAAGAGCACTGACATTTCTTTAGGACAAGGAAATTCTTTGGAAAGAAAGGCAAAGGCAGAGGGCTACCTGTGACATTCTGAGGTATTTATGTTCAGTAAGTCGGATATGACAGTGGAAGGACAGAAAGAGGAATAAGAGGGGTACAGGCAATGTTTTCACTTTAAGAGATGCAATACAGAGAAGGAAGTGGGTGAGTATACAATACTCTGAAATAAACATGGCCAAACCCTGTTATGGAAAGGTCCGTTTTGGCCACAGAGGGGATGAGATCTTTCTCTGTCATACACCTCATCACACCTGGAATGCTGTCAAACAGACCTTTCATAGGAGAATCAGTCTTGTTTCCGGTGTAAATGCAGATCTATGCAGACATTCATAACTGTCATCAATTTTTTATTGTTTCTATTTATCTGTCCTTAGCGGTACAATCTTAACAAATATTTCAAAAATTTTAGAGGTTATCATGTTTGAGAAAAAAATTCCAAAAGTAATTTTGATTAACTACTGTAGTTGAGAACTTACTGCTTAGACAACTGCCTTCTCTACATTCCTGCACTTTATCAGCAGTGCTGATTATTCTGTCAAATCACTTTCCCACATTCACACTGAGAATATAAAAGCTTATAGCTTTGTCAAACGTATAACTTAACAATCAAATTGAAATTCTTCATTTTATTTACAGTATCAGTCAATGCTGACTATGAACCAAAGTACTAGAAAAATGGATGGAGCTTTGGCGTCCCATTGTGTACCACAAATTCTCCAGATCACAATGCATTTCAATTCCACATTATTGATGCTAGTAAGAGACATAATTAAAGCAGCTGAAGTCCACAAAAATATGCTGAATTTCTTTAACCAGTATTGTTAAGTTTCTCAGCCCTACTTACCTGACTGTTCTCTGAAGGGTACTGTGAGTTACTAGACATTGCCCAAAAGAGGCCAGGTGGAAGGAAAAGGGGAACAAAGGGCATGGGAAAGTCTCACCAAGCCATTGCTCCTGAATGGTTTTTAGTTGACATCAATATGGTTCTTTTATTCTTTACTTAAAAATGAACTCTCTCATTCTTTAATTATAGAAAAGTTCAGAAAAGTATTTAAAACTTTTTTCACAAACACAGGTATCTCATTGACCTATGTTTTATTTTGAGTAAATCCATTATCCATTTCACATTATAAAAAGTAACCACACACGCATATGCATTCACAACTTAGATAATCTTTATCATACATCAATATATTTCTTAAAAAAACAAATATTTTATAATATCAATATAGTTATATGCCGATTGCATTTTGAAATTAGAGAAGCTGACAATAGCTTCAAACAGTATATCTCAAGAACTGACATTTTAAAATTAACTGTATATATTCCACAGGCAGATTTTGATGGAAATATTAGCATCGGTACAAATAAATGCTGTTGACATAGCTTAAGCATGATAGCTCAGAATAACAGCTGATTCAAACTAGATTCATCATTTTAAATCAAGTAAGGATAAATACAGTCTAAAATGTAAACAAAGTATTTATGAAAGAAATTTTTCTAAGAAATAAAGGAAATCATCAATCTATTATTTTTAAGGTGTTTGTAGCTCAAAGCTATCAGAAATTTTTGCAGGATTTTCAATGCAAATCTAAATTTGGGGACATCCAGGTACCACATATTGTCACCACAATCCTAAAACTGACAAAACTGCACACAGTTGTTCAGTTTGCCTTTTCAGCTGGGCTTCTAGAGCCATGAGAACACACAGTATCTCCCTTCTCTCCTGAGGCTCTGTCCAGGAATTGCCTGCTGAGGGCAATTTCAGCTCATTTGGACTGTTATACAATTTCTAAATGCTACACTCTAGAATGAGACAGCTGGTCTCCTGTACAAAGGCAGCCTTGCCTATTTTGCAGCAATGGTTATAGCACACACCTAAAGTTGTTTTTCTTTACACTGCACTGTAACACTGGAATTCTGTAACCACATTATTGTTTAAGAAACATATATCATATCATACCTGCTAAGGAATCTAATTCCAAATATGGTAAGTTTAGTGTCAGTTGCCATTATGTCTCTTTTCCCATTCATAAAAAAAAAAAAAAAGCCTAAAAAAAACAAAAAAAGCCCAGCCATTGCTTTAGCCTTTGTCCATCGATCACACTATCTTCAGTTGTCCTTGTTTTGCCTCCTTCATCAAGAGGTTGACTTAAGGGTTGGATTTTCTGGATTTTCTGGAGGAAAGAAGGAAAGAGAAGGAGGGAGGGAGAGAAAAAGAAAATCTGAAAAATTTCACCCATATAATGCTTCTAAAGTAAATAAGGAAATACTCACACAGCTGCTTTGAACAAACCTAATATATGAGAATGCTGACTAAGAGAAAAATGAATTCTGCATTGAAGATTACTCAGAATTACCTTTAATTACCAAAGCACATGTCTGCACCTAACATAGTATTCAATTTAGTTCATACAATTTTCCCATATTTTAAATTTTAAATAGCCAGGAAATTTCACAGGCCTAAATATACCAATTGTCTGGCCTTAGAAGACACAAGATATAATGTGCACCTGTACTTCCTGTAAGACACTACTATTTCTAAATACCAGATGTGCCATTCTGTATACTGCACAGAATTTTTTGAGAAGCAAAAATTGAGATAGTTAATAACCCCTGAAATCACTCCATAGGCTTACTTTAAATCAAAAGGACACATTTTCATTTGTATATGGCACATCTCTGAATTGTGGATAATACTTCACAGAAAAAGAACCAGTGTAAACACTAGTCACCCCCTAGTTGAATGGTAGCATGCACTCCTGAGGGTCCACGTTAGAACCACAATGGGTGGGAATGCGGTCAGACATCCCAGGCATAGAAGAAGCAACTGCAGATGCCAGCGGTTCTCCTTCCTCAAAACGCACAGAGAAGAAGAAACAAATCAATGCGATTTTCCTTACTGACCTTTGTTTCTAGATTCATTTTTGTGCTCATCAATGATATAGGCAAAGAGAAAATTCATCTATAAAAGGAAAGACATGCACAGCCATAAAAAACAGTGTCTGAAACAAAGGAGAGCTGGCAAGAGTACATTAGGTCAGTGGTCTTGACTTTTAAAAGTACCTGTGGCATTTAGAAACATAAGTGGAGAATGCTGTGCTGTTCCTAAGCAGGTTCCTGGGTAGGAAGTCAGGACAGCCCTCTGAGAGGAAGAGGCGTGAGAGTGATAGGGAAGGGCCACAGGATCCAGACTGGAAGCCTTTAGAGGATGAGCCAGAACTCAGCCCTGAGGCCTGAGCGCCAGACTGAGCTGCACTTGGCTACTCTGCTGCTAGGGCTGAGTACCCAGCTCCAGCTCAGTGTTCTGCAGAATGTCACCCTGTCCCACCTCTCCTCTCACAGCTTCTCTATGGAACTCACTAGGGCAGTAATTGCATGGGTGAAGACTTCTCTGCAGGAAGAGTGCCTTCTTCTTATCACTGCTAATCTGCAATATCCACATGACTCTTTCCATTACTATTGCTGTTCTGGAGTGATAGTCCTGCTCTTTTTTGAGGTCCACTCAATAAATTTATTTCTACATTTGCAATAAAGCTGGGTATACACATTTACATTTGTATATACCCAAGGGCCAATTAAAACTTGTAACCCCAGCAAAGAAGTTCTGCAAAAAGATGCAGGTGAGAAACTATTCAAAACTGTAGGCCAGGCAAGGTGGTGCATGCCTGTAATCCCAGGACTCAGGAGGCTGAGGCAGGAGGAGTGCAGCCTGGGCTACATAGCAAGTTCCAGGCCAGTGTAGGCTACATAGTAAGACCCTGATTCAAAATGGTGGCGAGAAAGAGAAAAGAGGGGGGAAGGAGGAAGGGAGGGAAAGAGAAAGAGAGAGAGAGAGAGAGAGAGAGAGAGAGAGAATATCCATGAATTTAGTTAAATATGTTTAAAAGGAAATTGGAATCTTGTTTAAGTTCTGTTCTGCTCAGAGGTTCAGGTGATCTTTCTGAAAGAAGAAATGTGTAACTGTAGTTTGTTACAGTTCCAGCATCCTGGTTGAACAATTTGCACCTTGGAATCATTCTTATGATGATTTTTACGGTACTGCCCTGCTAAATGTTTAAAAGAAACAAAGACTTCAGTAATTCAAATGACACAAAGAGCACACAGAAAGGAGCCACGGGAAAGGAGGACAGAGACCCTTATAACTTCACCTTCAAGGCACAAGTGTAGTCTGCAAACACATTCAGTTTCCCAAGTCCTCAACTGTGAGTCCCGTGTCATCGTAGTATTTCTCAGTGGCTTCCGCCGAGCCATCTTTCTCAGCATTAGCTGCTTAGCTACTATGGCTAGGTGTTTAAAGGGATTTTACTATACCTGGTGTTTTCTCAGAGCCAAATTCTGTGAACACAAACATGCCACAGGGGAGAAAAGCAGGTGTCAGATATTGTCAGAAGCCCTTTCAATGTTTTTTGTTGATTCGCCAAGGTTATGATGCCTTTGCCATGTTTCCATCATTTTACACACATACACAGCAAAGCCTCATGCGATAATAATCCCTTTTTCTCACATGTCCTTGTCACAAGCATTCTCTGCTCCTTGGAAAGTGAGTGAAAGGAAGACCCAGGCCACACACTCACAGCACGTCACAAAGTTACTTACAAGGTGGCCTTCCGGGGTTGTGGATCTTTGCTTCCAACGCTCTTTGCATCAGTTGTGTTGGCTGTCCCACGGGAGGTACTTGGTAAAGGAGTAGGAGAAAAGGAAGTCGGAACACTACTGGCACTGCGAGTCCGGAATGAGTCGTCTGAAAGTACGGCACGTAGAGTCAGACACAGGACATGTAGAGAAGACGAGGCTCAGGACATTCTCTCTTTTCAAATCAATTTTACGATGGCATAATTCATATACAATAAACTGCACAAAGTTAAGTTTTGGCATGTGTACACTCCCATGAAACCACTGCCACAGCCAAGATGTGCATATGACCACCACTACCAATGTCCCCTTGGGCCCCACTGCAGTCCCTTCCTGACTTCCTACCCCTTCGTTCTCCAAACCACTAATTTTTCTCCTGTCACGAGACATTAGCTTGCATTTTTCTAGAATTTTATGTAAAGAGAGTTATATATAATATACATTTTGGGTCTGACTCCTTTCATACGATCAGCACAATTAAGATTCATCCATATTGGGTATATCTTTTATATCGTTCTATTTCTAGCTGGTATTATATGGATATGCTAACATTTTTAAAACATGTTTGTGGATAGACATTTGGATTTTCTGATTTTTGATTATTACAAAACTGCTAGGATAGTCACATGCACGTCTGCATGTGGCTATGCTTTAATTCTCATCAGTAAACATCTAGGAGAATCCAGGGCTCACTAGTAAGTGTCTAGTGAGCTTCAGAAGAAACTGCGAGTTTCTTTCTTTTTCCTTTCCTCTTTCTCCCCCATCTCTTCCTCACTTCCAGCAGCAGTGTGTGATGAGAGTTCTGCAGAGCACGTCACATCTCCACACTTGACATCACGAGCCCTTTGCATTTCACATGCTAGCAGGTGTCCAGCAGCACCTGTGTGCAGTTATCATCTCCTTGCTTTTTAATTTGATTTCCGTACTGGTGCTAAGCATGTTTTTGTGCACTTGTATGTTTATTTTCCGGATTAAAGTTAGTTACCTAACAAGTTTTGAAGGCTTCTTGTATATTCTGAATACATGTCCTTTGTCAGGTAGGTAATTATGAATATTTTCTCCCAATCTATGCCCTGACTTTTTATGGTATATGGGCTCTATGTCAAAGCCCACAAGAAGGTGTATTTTCTTTCTGGCAGTGTCAGAGTTTGAACTCAGGACTCACTCTTGCTCTGCAGGTGCTCTGCCATTTGAGTCACTCCCCTAGCATTTTAAATGCACTTTAAATGTTTCTAACATGTTAACGTTCTTCTGCTATGGTTCGTGAGATCTTTGTCTATGCCAAAATTACAAAGACTTTCTTCTGTATCTTCTTGAGAAATTTTATAATTCTAGCCTTTATGTTCATGTTTACATTTTCAGTTATTTTTGTATAATGTGAGATAAGAATTGAGGTTCCATTTTTTTGAATTTTTTAAAATACACATACCCACTGGTCCCAGCACCAATTAAAAAATAGACTTAATTTTTTTAGAGCAGTTATAGGTTCATGGCAAAATTGAGAGGAAGGCAGAGGTTTCCCACACACTCCCTACCTCTACCCCTCACACCCAGCCTCCCACCATCAACATATCCCAGCAGGGTGGTACACTTGCTGTTATTGTCAAGCCCACATGGATGCATCATTACCACCCCAAGTCCATATTTATATTAGGGTCACTCCTGGGTCTTACTTTCTGAGCTTGGACAAATATATAATGACAGTAATATAATATTTTCACTGTCCTAAAAGTCCTCTGTGCTCTACCTATTCATCTCTCCTTCCTCCCAATTCCTGCCAACCATTGATCCTGTTACTGTCTCCATGGTTTTAGTTTTTCCGGACTATTTTACAGGTGGATCACAAAGTCATAGTGTTTTCAGGTTGGCTTTTTTCACTTAGTCACAGGCCTTAATGCTCCTCCATGTCTTTTTATGGCCTACTAGCTCATTTCTTTTTAGAACTGAACAGTATTCCTTTGTCTGAACTCACCTCAGCTTATTTGCCTATTCACCTACTAAAGGATGTTAGCAAGTTGCTTCCAAGTCTGGGCGATAATGAAGAGAGTTGCTATAAAACTCCATGTGTAGTTATTTGTGTGGAGACAAGCTCTCAACTGCTATGAGTGAGGGCCAAGGAGCACGACTGTGAACAAGAACACGGGAAGAGTTCCACAGTATGCATACATGTACTCTGAAACACGCCAAGCGTCCTCCAAAGCAGTTTCCATCAGCAATGACTGGGAGTTCGTATGGCTCCACATCCTTATCAGCATTTGGTGGTGTCCCTGTTTGGGGTCTGAGCTTTCTAACGGGTGTGCGGTGGGATCTCGATTGTTTTAATGTGCTTGACATTGAACATCTTTTCATATACTTACTCGAATCCAGGTATCTTCTTTGGTGATGCATCTGTTCAAGTCTATGCCCATTCTCAATTAGTTTGTTAGTTTTTCTTTCTAAGTCTAAAGAATCCCTTATGGATATTTATAATCATTTGCTCCATTAATTCCCAAGTTGAGCTAATTTAAACTGGCTTCCATGTACATTTACAGTTTCTAAAGGTACTCTATATTATAAATGAAGTTCTCAAACTTTGCATGTTCCTTAGTACTTCCTTAAGAAATCAGATTTGTTATGATAAAAGTTTTATTATTTATAATTCTAACTTCAAGATACAGGGCCAACTCAAGAGCTCAAAAAACTAGTCAGCAAAGACTAATCCAATTAATAAATGAGCAGGTGAACTAAGCAGACAGTCCTCAGAAGATGAAATACAAATGGCTAATAAATACATAAGAAGTGTTCGACATCCTTTGCCATGTGGGAAACGCAACTCAAAACTACACGAAGATTCCAACAACAAATGCTGGAGAGGGTGTGGGGGATAAAGGGAGCAACAGCATATGTTGGTGGGAATGCAAATTGTAAACTGGGCAACCACTGTGGAAATCAATATGGAGACTCCTCAAAAATAGACCCTACCACATCACTCTTGGATGTATAGCTGAAGGAACATAAATCAACACCCAAGAGACATGCCTGCATACCCACATTTACTGAAGCTCTGTTAACAATAGCTATACTGGAATCAGCCCAGGTGCCAAAAAAACTGATGAATAGATAAAGGAAATATGGTATATTACTCGTGGAATATTACTCAGCCATAAAGAAAAATTAAATTATGTCACTTTCAAGAAAATAGATGGAACTGGAGATCATTATGCTGAGTGGGATAAATTAAGCTCAGAAAGCCAAATATCACAGGCTCTTACTCATTTGTGGAACCAAGACCTAAAATGATGACAATGATAATGACAACAGCAATGGGACATGATGTGAAAAGGAGCACGGTCCGAAGGGGTCAACAGGAGAGGGTAGGGGAAAGGGGAGGATGCCAAGGGGTGAAGAGGGTCAAAGTACACCATACACACTCTCACTCACACACACTCTCACACACTCTCACACTCACTCTCACACACACACACACACACACACACACGATGACAGCATCATAACATCCACCAAATACTGTTTGAAGAGGGGGAGAGAATGGCAATATAATGGAGGGTGATCTTGTTCAAAGCATACTGTACCCATCTGTGGAATCGCCACAGTGAAACCCCCTTGTGTTATTACTGTATGCTAAGTCAGAATTATAATAAAAAAGTCTGAATTAAAAAATTCAGACTTTTGAGCAGAGTCATTACTACTTACGCTAAAAAAATTTCCATCCATCAATATTGCAACTTTCAACTAATATATCTAAGAAGATTAAAAATACACAGATTATCACAAGTAACTTTTAGTAATATATTCTAGTTTATTCACGGTATAATTAGGCCAGCAACCTATGGACTTTGGGGCAAATGTTGCACGCTGCACATTTTTGTAAGTAACATTTTATTGGAACACAGCCGCACTTTCCCATGATGCTTTGTCTATGGCTGTTTTCCCTCTACAAGAGCAGACTGAGTAATTATAACAGAGATCAATTTGGCCCACCAAGGCTAAAATATGCACAGTTAGCCCTTCACAGAGGCTTCTGACCCCAGAACAAATTTTCAAATACAAAAGATGGTATATATTTAACTATATGTGATTTGTAATGAATTCCTACTGTTTTTAGCTTCCTTAAAAATTATTGGGAAAGACTTTTGTTTATGCTTCAGCTGACCCTCTGACTATGGTAAAACCATCCTACCACATAGTCCTTCCTATCTGTTATCCCTTGTAAGTATTAAGCTCTGAGTCTTGACACAGTGAAAACAAAACAGTATAGTCAAGTATTTTCTCAGTTGCTAGGGACAAGTTTAATTTCTTAAGGATTTGATGAAGACATACGTTTAGAAAAAATACCATACATAGAAATAAAGACATAAGTCATTTAAAGCAAAAGATATTTAATTGTCTGTAGCTGTTTTTTTGGAAGAGCTTAGATGGCTACTTACCAGTTAGTGAAAGCACAGAAGTCTTCGCCAACCCTGAGACAGAAGACGTATATGCTACCGTAGAGCTTTTACTAGAAAAGAATGAGGCTTGGATTAAAACACAAGAGCACACTTCTTTTAGTCTCAGTTACCTAATACTTCAGCTGTTGTAATCATTTTTTGTAAATGTTTTTCTCTACTTTTTATAAATCACGCCTGTTGCTTTTATTTCTATTTTGTTTTTCATATTCCACACCTCAAAGTACTTACTTTGTCTATAACTTGAAATCATTTCCTTAAACTTTTGCTTCATCAGATCTACAGTTTTACTTTTGGTGCTGAGCCAAGTCAGTAAGATGAGTAAAATTTTCCTGAAATAACTTACCTTTAGTTATAATCCCTTCTGTCTACCCTGAGATCTCTCTATTGGCTTGGGAACTCAAGATAGATTGACTGATAATGCCTAAAAATATAGCTAAAAATCTGGAGTAAGTTATCATTAGTAAGGAAAATACGTTTTTATGTAACATGCTATTTATCTTGAGAGATAAATGGATACTTTTAAAGACATTTATGTCTTCTTAGAATTACATTGCGTGTCAATTGGCATGCAGCTGTTAAATACTATGCATGTACAACACTATAACAAATCATGGTAACTTATGCTGCTTCTCCCCTAATCTTAACTGTTTGTAATTTTTTCTCCTGGGCCTAAAAAGGAAACCATACATTCATCTATTGTCAGACACAATATGTCATACAGGAAGGTGTAGCACTTATGGTATAAACATGGCAGTGGCACTCTGGATGCAAATGGGGGTGCACACCCATTTGGCAGACGGGGTGCACTCATCCCATTTACAAGTTAAGGTGAAAGGTGTGAGGGCTTCACGATATTCTTAAATGGTGTCACAGCATTATTCTGCCTACAATGCCACGATATGCATTTTTATGCAAATGGTACTTCTCTTTTTTTAATATAATAATCTTTACAGAAGAAAACTGACAAAATTAGTGAAGATTAATTCTGATTTTTATAATGTAAATAAAAATGTTTGACTATAAAATAATTAAAAAACAAACAGCTGACAGACCATACCTAGCACACTTCTCTAAGTTGCCGTATTTTGCATGAAAAGCTTGATTATTAAAAGATTGGCTGCGAATCAATTTAGATTTCTTGATTTCTTTACCTAGAATCATAAGCAGAAAAAAGGAGATGCAATTGTTCAGTTCATCCTTGTCAGCCCAGCCTTCATGTCCTCCCCACCCCCACCATTTCCAGTGAACCCCACATGGGTGGGGTTTTCACCCCTCGGTCTGAGCTGACTGGAGGCTCTCTTACCCAACCATCCATTAAGAACTATCAAAACAACTAATAACAAAAGGCTAAATACACATTAAGAACTATCAAAACAACTAATAACAAAAGGCTAAAGACACATTAGAACAGTATGTCTCATTTAACAGTGAACTTCCCTGAAGTGAATTTTTTAGAAAGAAAAAATGTATAAAACACCATGAAAAGAAGCCACTGCTTACTTGCTGATGGGATGCTAGAAGAGGGTCCAGGAACAGACACAGGGATGCTCTTGGGCAGGTTTTGCGTTGGTGTCTTAGTGTCTCTGCCTAAAATAAACTGTGTTTTAAGGTGTATAATTTCCTCTGAGTCCTCATTAATGTCCATAAACATAAAACACAGAAAATACAAGTCACTCTGCCTAGTTAACAGTACTCTTTCCCAAACACTCTGTCGTTATCATTTCCATATTTCAGTCTTTGGCATCCAGTGATCAATTCCCAGTCTCACAGCTGATATCACACTTGAGCTGTCCTTTGAAGGCTGTGGGCGTCCTACTGTGTAATCATGTCTTCCTAGCATCTATACACATTAAGTGGCCAATTTTCAAAAACAAGTTGTGGAAGAAAATGAAAAGCAATTTTCCCTACCAAATTAAAAACTCAGCATGGCCTTTCAGAGTACCAGGATCCACATCAGTTCTGTAACTAAGTGGTGAAGACAAAGGAAAACCACTTACGTTTTTTCTCAAAGATTTTATCACTCGGGGGCCTCCCGTCATTCTGCTGCTTCTCCTTCTCTAGCTGCTCCTGTGATGAAAAGTTTCTCCATATTAAAGGTACAGCTTCAGTAGACTTGAAAAGTTGTCCTGATGAGGATTACTTTAAATTTACACAAACAAATGCAGTTCCTCACTTCAAACAGTGGGGTTTTCACCCAGAGATGTATCTAAAGAACTCAGGGTTCTTTCACATTTTGTGGCCTTTTAACATCTGCAGCATTTTGCCATTGGGGGTTTGTCCAACTCGAACAATGAGTTTGGTATGCTCATCAGCCTTTATTTTCTAGACAGTATTCACTGATTCTCATCAACGTAGCATTTGTTACTACTGGTTATTTCAACTTCTAAGTGGTAAATGGCAAAATAATATTTTTCTTTTAAAATCTTGGGAGAAAAGGAAATAGTCTACTGGACATATTTAAAATACTTTATTGATGTATAATAAAGTGTATAAATTATGAGTGAATTCTATCAAGCAGGTAAGGAAGAAATAAAGCCAACCTTATAGAAACTTTGTCAGTTGATAGAGGAAGGAACACTATTCATCTCGTTTAATGAGGCCACAATAATTCTAATACCAAATCTGACTCCAAATACACACAAAAAATTATAAGCCAATTTCACTATGGTTTGTTAAGGTAAAATTCCTTAACAAAAGCCTTAGCCAAAAATGCAACAATAGAGAAATGGATGATATGTCATCACCAGGCAGGTTTATGCCCCAAGTGCAAGAATGGTTTACTACTTGAAAAGTTAGTAGCTCACTGTATTAACATATGAAGGAGAAAGCCAAGTATCATTTCTAGATATGCAGAAAAATTATTTGACACAGTGCAATAATCATTGGTAAAAACTCTCAGCAAAGTAGGAAGGAACTTCCTCAATCTGATAAAGGCATCTACATAAAACCCACTTATAGGGTCAGGTGTAATGTTGAAAGATTCAATTGCTTCTTCTAAGGTCAGTAAAAGCAAGATGCCACTTCACACCCCTTTTATCCAACAGGAGGTCTTTAATTGTACAGCAGTTCCTAGGCCTTGCAATACAAGCAAAGAAAGAAAAGATGCAAATATTTCATATGAACAAGTAATCTTCCTGTGTTTAAAGAAGGAATATGGCTTACCTAGAAAATCCTAGTGAATCTAAAGAACAAATTTTAGAGTAAATAAATGTAGCAAGTTTAAGGTTAATATTTAAAAAATCAATACTAGTATTCTTAAACACCAGTAACAAAAAACTGAAAAGCAAAATTAAAAATCCAAGGGCTGGCAGAGTGGTAGAGCACCCGCTTAGCAAATGTGAGGCCCTGAGTTCAAAACCCATTACTGCCGCTCCCCCAAAACTATAAATCCACTCACAGTAGTGCCAAAAAACAATACGTTTAGGAACAAAGCTAACAAAACTCTTCTATGAACTCTATACTGAATGCTCTTAAAATCACTGAAGAAGAAAAATATACCCTACCCAGTTTCAAAAACTATAAAATTATAGTGCTCAAGGCAGGTTTTTATTGCCCAAAAGATAAACATATAAATGAGAATAGACACATATATGATGAGTAATATTTTTGAAAGGTGCTAAGGTAATTGAGTAGGGAAAAGAAGAAAAACTTAACAAATTGTGCTGGAATAACTGGATATTCGGGTGGGAAAATAAATACATATATAAATTAACTTGAAATGGCTCATAGACCTAAATGCAAAACCAAAAACTAAAGTTTCTAGAAAAAAAGCATAGCAAAAAATCTGTGATCTTGGGCTAGAGAAAGGATTTTTGGAGTGAAAAACTGATAAGCCAGACTTGATCAAAATTAAAACATCTATACTCGAAGGACATTAAGTAAATCAAAAGATGAACTACAGTCTCCAAGAACAGATCCACAGTATGTACGTGTGACAAAAGCAGAGCACTAGCTTGTGCAGGACCTCTCATACATCAGTAATGAGATAAACAACTTCTCTTAAATTCTGAAAACAAACACCATCACAAAAGAGATAGGTTAGCCAATAAACAAATCAAAAGATGTTTGAAATCTTTAGGCATCAGGGATATATAATTTAGTGGATACCATTTTATACCCACTAATATGGCTACAACTTTTAAAAAATTAACCGTACCAAGGATTATAGAGGACGGGGGTAACTAGTGCGGACCACAGCCATGGAAATGTAAAATGGAACAGCCATGTCATCAAACAGTTTTTGTCTATCTTTAAGACAAACATACTGATGGGCACCAGTGGCTCACACTTGCAATCCTAGCTACTCAGGAGGCAGAGATCAGGAAGCTCTCACTTTGAAGCCAACCCAGTCAGATAGCTCATGAAACCCTACCTCGAAAACACCTAACACAAAAAAGGGCTTGGCAAAGTGGCTCAAGTGACAGAGCACCTGCCTTGCTCAGCAAGCATAAGTCCATGAGTTCAAGCTCCAGTGCTGCAAGAGAAGCATATCCTACCACATGAACCAGCCATTTTATTCCTCCTGATCGCAGCATTCCAAGTAGCTAGGATTACAGGTTTGAGTCACTCATGCCCAACCTCTATTCACATTTAATAGCATTTGAATTACTTCTAGTTTGGGGATATTACATATAAACTCATTTTCGACATCAGTGAAGAAGTACTTAGGTAATAACACTGAAAAATTAATTTAAAGTTTAATAACAAAACACAGTTAACGTTGATCAAAAGTGTGTGTATTGCATGTGAAACCAACATACCATTTCAAAAAGAAGTATCTCTTCTCTTTCTTTCTCTTGATCCAACAAATCTTTTTCATAAAACTTTTTCTGAAACTGTTCGAAGTTTAAAATGACATTGTCAAACATTAGTGATGACTTCTTGCCAATTTTTAAATTTTCCTTTCATTATAAGGTGAAGAGTATACTTACCGCATCCAAAGACATTTCCATTCTGTCCAACTCTAAAACAGTCTACAAAGAAAAGTTTTCATAATTATTCAACAGTAATTCCAACCAACCATTCCTCAAAGAAACTCCTTTCCTAGGGAGATTCCAAGAGAAGACCTCTGCACTCTGTGGAAGACTTGGCAGAAAACTGTGAAATTCATCCAGGTCTCCACCATGCTTATATTCAACATCTATATACTGATGCCAGGAACCATCTTATCTTCCAGAACTTTTTAACCTTATAAGAAGAGCACTTCTACAGGCATATTTTAAATACTAAATGCATGCAATTTAATTTCTAATAACTCCCAGTGTTGATCTTTTCTGAATTTTCAAAAATAGAATATAGCTTTTGAATTTTTAAAAAGTCTTATAGGTAAACATACATGGAGTAAACTATCAATTGCTTAAAATCCTTAAAACCCTCCACAGAAACTGCCAATCATTATGACCCACTAAGCAATAGAAAAGGCTTTTCTGAAAGTTTTTCTCAATTTAGTTTTTGCCTTTCAGAATACACTGGTCTAAAACAAATAATTTCAATCAAACAATGGTCAATCTAATTCAGGGTTCTGTCTATGCTGTGGACAACACTTCTAAAATTTACTCTACAAGAGTAACCCTAACATTAGACCAAAATAAAATACATTCATAAATTTATATGCCCAAAGCTATCTATTGCAAACAGGTTTATTGGAAGTTTCATTTTTATCTTAAAATTTAAGAAAAATTTAAATTTATTTCATAAATCCTTGTTTTAAAATAAAACGATTTACCATATTAAAACAGTTAGGGTAAGCTATTTCATGATTGTCCCCAAGCTTTGTGTAGCTTCCTCAGAGTTCCCATACTAATACCTCAGTCTGATCAACATCAAACTATGAACAGATTGACTTCATCATATGACATGTAATGAAAAGTACGAGCTGTAGGCTCTTACTTAGCAAGCCAATAATTTATTAATTCAATTATATCGTTGTACCAATTTATGGAGGTAGCTTACGATAGTTCTTAAATTAATAATTTCTTTGGGAAGAGTAAATAACCCTCTCAAGCTTATGATTTTCACAAGTTAAAATAATTGCCTAAAACTCTGGGTATTTCTGGTGATCTCTAATGATAAAAGAAGAATTGATATTTTATTAAATTTATACTAATAACAAGATATCAAATGATTTTATTAGAGTTCCTCATAAAAAAAAGTTCCTCATGATATCTAACAATGATCTCTAGGGGAAAAAAAGGGAGAAATATGAGGATTCTCTTTTTTTAAGATGCTAATTTATTTAAAGCATTAATAAATTAATTTTTTACCACAAAAACTGTGATCTGAAGTTCACACCCAGATTCATAAAAGTGCCCTCTCTACTTTGACTTGATCTTACAACAATATTCAGCATTGTTTTTGAAAAATATAAGGTATTTTAAGGGTTTTTGGTTTTTTTGCCTTTTTGATGGTACTGGGAGTTGAACTCAGGGCTTTGCACTTGCTAGGTAGGTACTCTCCCACTTGAGCTACGCATCTAGCCCACATTTTAAGGTTTGATCTCACTAACCTGAATCCTTACTGATTTAGTTTTCCAACATTCCCAGACAATCCCTGTAATAAGGTCTCACGTTAAGGGCTAGAGCTGAGCACCCAATACATGCAAAGCTCTCCCTCTTGGAGTTTACACTCTCACATCCAGCTGCAGCACACACTACCCATATCACTTACTAATTCTGACTACTCCTGTAATGAGATATAATAGATGTTTATGCCTTGACAGAGTGCTAGCTATCAAGCTAAGCAGTAAAGGTATGATTAACAGTCATAGTGCAAGACGCACACTTTTGCAGCAAGAGTACTTACTTTTTTTACAATAGCCAGAACATCTTTATCTTTTTCTTGACAGAGGAGTTTTCTCACACACATTTCTAACTGCTGAAGGAGATGTTTGTCTGCAGGAATCTTCAGAGTTGATTTTACTTTGGGCAACAGGTAGCAAAGTTTCATCCTGTTATTTAGAGTGAACTTAATAAACCAAGAATAATAGGAACATGAAACTGAAAAAAATAAGTTTTTGATAACCTAGGAGTTCAGGTAGTCATGCAACAAGTACTTGTGGAATGCCTATTGTGAGTCAAGCATTCGTTATTCTGGATACTGAGACACAAAAGTGAATACAACCAACAAAACTTTCTGTTCTTGGGGAGTTCACATTTTAGTGTGGAGGTAGAGAAGAGGGAGTAAGCAGGAAGTAAAATGTCTGCCTGATAGTTTAAGTGCCATGGAAAGCACCTAAACGGGGAAAGAAGGTAAGAGAGCACCAGAGAAGGTGAATCGATCCAAAGCAAGTGGTCACAGAAAGATTCATTGAAAAGGCCGTTTAGGCTAGAGCCAACATCATACTTAATGGAGAAGAACTGAAACCATTTCCCCTAAAATCAGGAATGAGACAAGGGTGCCCATTATCCCCACTCCTATTCAACATAGTCTTGGAATTCCTAGCCAGAGCAGTTAGGAAACAAGAAGAAATAAAAGGAATACAAATAGGTAAAGAAAGTATCAAAATATCCCTATTTGCAGACAACATGATCCTATATCTTAAAGACCCAAAAAACTCTACCCAAAAACTCCTAGACACCATAAACAGCTACAGCAAGGTGGCAGGATACAAAATCAACTTACAAAAATCATTAGCTTTCCTATAGACCAACAATCAACAAACTGAGAAGGAATATACAGAAACAATTCCATTCACAATAGCCTCAAAAAAAATCAAATACCTAGGAGTAAACTTCACAAAGGATGTGAATGACCTCTACAAGGAGAACTACAAACCCCTGAAGAAAGAGATTGAGGAAGACTACAGAAGGTGGAGAGATCTCCCATGCTCATGGATTGGTAGAATCAACATAGTAAAAATGGCTATACTACCAAAAGTAATCTACATGTTTAATGCAATTCCCATCAAAATCCCAATGACATTCATCACAAAGATTGAAAAATCTACCCTAAGGTTCATTTGGAAACACAAGAGACTGCAAATAGCCAAGGCAATGCTCAGCAAAAAGAGCAATGCTGGAGGTATCACAATACCCAACTTCAAACTGTATTACAAAGCCATAGCAATAAAAACAGCATGGTACTGGCACAAAAACAGACATGAAGACCAGTGCAGCAGAATAGAGGACCCGGATATGAATCCACACAGCTATGCCCACCTTATTTTTGACAAAGGCGCCAAAAACGTACAATGGAGAAAAGATAGCCTCTTCAACAAATGTTGCTGTGAAAAGTGGTTATCCGTCTGCAAAAACTGAAACTAGATCCATGTTTATCACCCTATACTAGTATCAACTCAAAACAGATCAAGGACCTTAGTATCAGACCCAAAACTCTGAAGTTAGTACAGGAAAGAGCAGGGAATACTCTGGAAGCAATAGGTATAGGCAAGGACTTCCTCAATAGAACCCCAGGAGCTCAGCAACTAAGAGAAATGATGGACAAAGGGTACTACATGAAATTAAAAAGCTTCTGCACAACAAAAGAAATAGTCTCTAAACTGAAGAGACCACCTAGAGAGTGGGAGAAAATATTTGCCAGCTATACATCAGACAAAGGACTGATAACCAGAATACACATTTTTAAGAAGGGAACTTAAAAAACTAAACTCTCCCAAAATCAATGAACCAATAAAGAAATGGGCAAGCGAACTAAACAGAACTTTCTCAAAAGAAGAGATTCAAATGGCCAAAAAACACATAAAAAAATGTTCGCCATCTCCAGCCATAAAGGAAATGCAAATCAAAACCACACTAAGATTCCACCTCACCCCTGTTAGAATAGCCATCATCAAAAACACCAACAACAACAAATGTTGGCAAGGATGTGGGGAAAAGGAACCCTCTTACACTGCTGGTGGGAATGTAAGCTGGTGCAACCACTCTGGAAAAAAATTTGGAGGCTTCTTAAAAATCTAAACATAGATCTGCTATATGATCCAGCAATCCCACTCTTGAGGATATACCCAAAAGACTGTGACACAGGTTACTCCAGAGGCACCTGCACATCCATGTTTATTGCGGCACTATTCACAATAGCCAAGTTATGGAAACAGCCAAGATGCCCCACCACTGACGAATGGATTAAGAAAATGTGGTATTTATACACAATGGAGTTTTACTCAGCCATGAAGAAGAATGAAATCTTATCATTCTCAAGTAAATGGATGGAACTGAAGAACATCGTTCTGAGTGAGGTTAGCCAGGCTCAGAAGACAAAGAATCGTATGTCCTCCCTCATATGCGGACTTTAGATCAAGGGCAAATACAGCAATGTTGTTGGACTTGGGTCACACGTTAAGGGGATAGCACACACAGGAGGTATGGGGATAGGTAAGAAACCCAAAACATGAAAGTGTTTGATGTCCCCACTGCAGAGGAGCTAATACAGAATGGGAAGGTGACTGGGAAGAAGTGAAAAGGTCAGGTAGAGATGGATAAATTTGGGTTTTAACACATTTGTGCATGGAAGCAATGCTAGGAATCTCTCTGTATAGCTATCCTTATCTCAACTAGCAAAAACGCTTTGTCTTTCTTATTATTGCTTATACTTTCTCTTCAACAAAATTGGAGAAAAGGGCAGAACAGCTTCTGCCTGGAAGTGGGTAGGAGGCAGGGGGCAGAAAAGGCCCAAACACTGTATGCACATATGAATAAATGAATAAAAAAAAATCCCCCCTCCCCAAAAAAAGGCCGTTTAGGCAAAGAACTAGAAAAGTGAGGGAATGAGCCACGCAAGTGTCTGAGAAGGGCATTGGCAGGTAGACAGGGGTGCTGCTCAGTGTTGCCCCAAATTAGCAAACTGGTCCACATTAGCATTTGGCCATTGTATCAGAACGGAATGAAGATGCGATGAGCAGGAGACCTAAGTGGTGACAAGAGGCCAACTTGTGCAGGGCCCTGCAGCCACTATGAGGAGCCTGACTTCTATTTGCAGAGTGATGAGAAAGATGGGAGGGTTTTGAGCAGACATGTGAGGTGATTCACTTTAACTTTTAAAAGCATCATTGTCTGCTGTTTTGGTTGTAACTGTGGGTGGTCAAGGAGAGAAGAGAAGCAATAGGGGAGGGCCCAAGCAAGGGCAGGTAGCAGCGGAGGTGTGAGAGAGACTGCATTCTGCCTGTCTTTTGCAAGCAGCAGGATACGCTCAGAGACTGGAGGTGGAATGACAGAGAGAAAGGAGTTATGGTTTTGACCTGAGTGAGTGAGAGGGTAAATTGGTTACTTTCTGAGCTAGGGAAGACTGCAGAAAGAATGAAAGCAGGACAGGTAGACTGGAGTTGAGGTCTAGACAGACAAAGTCTGAGGTGCCTGGGAGACACTGAATAAGAATGCTAAATGGCAGTAGGCTGCAGTCCAGGTGGGTGCTGCAGCATGCAGATGGCAGCTAAGCCACAGAGTAGAGAACTCAGCAAGGCAGTAAGTGCAGTGAGAGAAGGAAAGAGAGAAGAGGAAGCAGCCCAAGACCACCGTGGTCTAGTTAGGTGGGTAAGGACAAAACAAAGAAATGGAAGGATGCCAGGAAAGTGCAAGAAAATCCAGGAAAGTAAAGAAAACCTTCTCAGGAGGAGGTGGTTCTGAGGAGACATTCTGCTTTACTAAACTCAAACTCGCCTTGCTTGTGGGCTAGTTTTAGAGAGCGATGCCGGGTGGCCGTCTATCTTACATGGCTGTATTCATTCATTCATTGCGTGTTCTGTATTTCTTTTGCAAATCTGTGTCAGCCAAGTCCCATTTCCAGTTTCCAGGCTGCTGTGTCAGCAGAACCTTCAGCTGAGAGTTTTTCATTTACGCACATTTGCTTTTTATGCATCCAGCAAGGGCAAAGAGGCTCCTCCAGAATATCAGCAGTGTGCCCAGTAACATTAGCCTCGATCTCACTCAGCACTCACCATGGACACTGGTAACACTCTAAAGAAGGAGGCCCAGCTTCCCTAAAGAGAAATTGTTTCACTTCTTCCCACCCAGGAGAAGGCTTCTCTGAATACCAATAGGGTTTTTCCAGCCTTGATAACGTCTACACTCAGTGAATGTAAAATTTAAACACTCACTTAGGGAAGAACAAGAACACTTAGTCTATGCACACTTCATTCTTTATTACTCAAGGCCACTAGAAAATAAAGATTCAGTAGAAGCTATAAAAAGCCATGGTAGTGATCCATCTCTATGACACGCCTAGGCCCAGAGGATCATAAATTCTTGAGATTAATGACATCTTTCTGGTAGACTTTATATATTAACAAATTAAAAATACCTACTCAAACTTCTCTTGATGGTAATGTGTGTATCCAAAGCCTGCCAAGCTGGATTTGATTTTCTGCTCTCTCAAGCTGACAAGACAAAGGATCTGAGACAATGCTGCAAGACTATGCTTCCATGCCCCATCAATACTCATCAGCTGAGATAACTGAGATCTCATTGCAACACTATTTACAATAGTCAGGACAGGAAGCTAACTGAGGTGTCCGTCAACAGATCACAGAATAGAGGAAATGAGGTGCATATACTCAATGAACTATAACTCAGCTATAAAAGAGTGAACCTCTGCAGCAATGTGGATAAACAGGAAGACACAGAAAGCAAAGCACTGCATGGCCTCATTTATATGTGGAAGCTGAAGAGTCCATGTCTAGAAGCAGGGCGTGAGCACTGGCTGCTAGAGAGTAGGAAGGGGAGAGAGAAGATGGAGGAGGCAGGTCGCAGGTGGTAAAGTCCAGCTGATGACAGGAGGGGTATGTTCTGGTCTTCTACACACAGTGGGATGACTATAGTTCACAACGGTTTATTATATAATTTATAAGGAGCTGGAAGGCAGGAGTTTGAAGTCTCCCAACAAAGTGAAAAAGGTTTAAAGAGATGCAAATTGCCCTGATTTTATCACCACATACTGTGTAGTGTATAAAACAATCACACTGTAGCCATAAATGCAGGAAATTGTGGAGTCAATGTTTTAAAAACAACTACTAAGAATTTGAAGCCAAGTGCAAATTCTTTACTTGATCTTCCACTTGACTAAGGAAAAGATTTTGCAAATATTTGCAGTAATAGATACACAAGAAATACATTTTCAGATATTTTCTTAGAGTGGCAACATACCTCACATTTGCTACTGGATCATGTGTCAGTTCAATAGCAGGTAGAAAGAAATATCTGCAGAAAAATGACTTGGAAAAGATCTCTATGATAAATTCACAAGTATCCAAAAATCGAAGTCTATTCCAATAACTTTTTCCTTGACCCAGCTCTAGAAACAACAACAACAAAAATATCACAAGTTAATTTGTCCTACATGAAATTACATATAACAAAGATAAACACAATAAAAATCTGTGACAAGTTTCTTTATGCACACAATTTGTTTAGCAAATTGAAGAGGTAAAAGAAAAACAATCATATTAAATACTCTGGATATGTACACTCCTAAATTATTGACACTTCAAAAACCAGCAAAAAGTTTTATTAACATTGCATTAAATTTCATAAGCATTGATTAACTATTGAATGACTAGAACTACTATTTTTGACTACTCACTATGTGCTAAGTACTTCACCCATTCATCTCATCTATACCTGAAAGACAATCAAATGAAATGCACATACCTATCCCTCCTAAAACAGAAGGACACTGATACTCAAGTCAAAGCCAGCTACAATTCAAACGCAGGTCTATGTCATTTCAAAATCTCTTAACAATCAACATATTTTCTTCCTCTTGTTTCCTTAAAAATCTTCAAGGCCAGATGTGGTGATGCATGCCTATAATACCAGCTACCGGGGAGGCAGAGATCAGGAGGATCATTGTTCAAGGCCAGTCCAGGCAAAAAGTGAGTGGGACTCCATCTCAACAAACAAGCCAGGTGAGGTGGTGCAGACCCGAAGTCCCAACGCATAGGAAGCATAGGTAGGAGGATTGCCATCCAAGTACAGCACCAGGCAAAACAGTGCAAGACCCTATCCCCCATCCGAAAAAAATAACTAAAGCAGAAGGGGGGAGGGAGTGGCTCCAGTGGTAGATGGCTTGCCTAGCAAGTGTGAGGCCCTGAGTTCAAAGCCCAGTGCTGTCAAATAATGGTAAAGATCACACTGCTTGCAATAGACGAAGTCGTGTATAAATACAATCATCGACAGCAATTCAGGTTGGTATTTTACATAAATGTTCAAAAGCAAAACTCGCAATATTAAAATCAAATAGAACCTTTCAAAATAAAACTTATTCTGTGAGGCCCTACTAATGTAAAATGAAAACTGAATTAAAATAGATCACAAAAGATTAAAATACAGTGAGCATAATTTTTCTTAAATATAATGTCATAAAAGTACTCTAATTTTTTTTTAAGTGGAGAGCTATACTTAAAATGGTAAATTCCAAAACTGAGAAAATCCCATTACCTGCGTATGCTGGATGATATTTGAGTAAAGACACGCAAGGCGTAATGGTCAAAGTAGCGCTCAGCAGCTGACAATTCACTGAGTACGCGTAGGCATGTGCCACTGCTTCTAGAATTTACACCTCCAAGGCTTTTGCCTTGATTTTAGTCCTTAACTAATTAAAATAAGCTTGCATTTGGCGCCTTCAGTTCAGAGACATTGAAATCACCAAGGCTCACCAGGTTCACACTCACTATATACTGCAAACGGTATTCAAGGAAAAAAAACTATAAATCCACATTCTGCTAACTACTAATATTGAAAACAGAATAATGAAATAAATGGTCAGATTTATAAATCCTCTATTCATATTTTACCCCCAATTGCTATTCATCAAGGTGAAAACTAGGCTTTCAACATCATCTATATATTTTAATTTCTCAAGTGTTGGAATTCATAGAAGAAGCTTTGATGTAATTACTACTTTCATTCATCTGACCCTGCCATAAATTAACCTCCCCAAATCAAAAGCACACATCAGCCTGTGCCAGGGGCGCACGCCTACAATCCTAGCTGCTCAGGAGGCAGAGATCACGAGGATTGCAGTTCAAAGCCAGCTCTGGCAAATAATTCTCAAGACCCTATCCAGTATGAAAACACTCAACACAAACAGGGCTGGCAGAGTGGCTCAAGTGGTAGAGTGCCCACCTAGCAAGCATGAGTTCCTGAGTTCAAGCCCCAGAACCACCCAAAAAAATAAAAGCACACACTAGATACTTATTGACATCAACCCAATTACTCCAGGTAAAATGCTACACAATGCGAGTCAGACCTAATTAAAGCCAATGGGTTTGGTCGTTTTCTTTTTTTCAAAATAAGATGCAATGATTACTTACGTTCAATTAATTTTTGAATGACTTCATGTCTCTGTTCTTGTTTCCGATTATATCTCAGAAAAATGCATAGAGTCCGTGAAGCTGCTTTTTGAACAGGTAAGACGTTCTTAAAGAAATAAATCAGAAAGACAATTAAGCTAGCTCAACATGTGTGCTCAATAATCTGCTCCCATCAAATCACCATTAAAAGAAGAGCATCCGCTGCCTTTCAGATCCCTGCATTTTCACCCTTTTGGATGTGAGTCCATAACTCAATGTTAGCGCCACTCAGGTAAATCAACTAATACACCCCTTTACAAAGTTAATTTAATTTTCACAGTCACATCTAAGTTATCCAGATTTGACTCTCATTTCCTTGTCATGTCATCTTAAATAACATGCTTCGAAAATATGCCTGTCATCCATTCTTTTAGTCTAGATGCTATCACTCATTCATTCAACAAACATTTGCTAGAACATGCCATGTCTCAGCTACATCATCAAAAATGTGCTACAACATAAATTTAGAGACCTGTGGTCAGGTATACCTGCCCTCCTTCTGGCTTAATTTTGGCTCTTCAACCTCAATGTCACTCGCTGAGATCTCTGGTCCATGATACAGATAAAACAGAATCTGAGGGATATCACATCCGTCATTCTTACAGTATTTCAACACCTTTGTCCTCTGAATTTCTGTCACACTATGGGCAAACCTCAACTCTAAACGAATTCAACCAGTTATCTTTACTGGGTTTGGGTTTAAAATATGTAACAGACAAAAATCTCTCAACTAGGTGTGCCCATTATAAATTCCTGCCCACCATGCTGACTCTATGCAAATAGTCTACAGAGCGGGAGTCCTTCAACTTGAGCAGAAGTTTACAGCTCACTAGCGGCATAAGTTCGTGTCATTCATTGGGCACTATGCTACATGGTATTTTTAACTTTTGGATGTAAAAAGAAGATATTATGACTTAGAAGAGAAAATTTAAGAAACGTCTATAATGAGAAACACAACTAAGCTTAAAAATGAACTTCAGACAGTGAACTAAGTGAAAGCACATTACTCTTTTCTCTCATTTGTGTAGAGAGATGTAGCATTTCAAATGCATACATATCACTCATTTGAAAACATGTGCATTTTATACCTGATATATAATGTATATTATACCTTACAGTTCAATCCTTTTGGGACAGAAATCAAAGATAAATGTTAAAAGCATATAAAAAGCCAGCTTGAGGAAGTTGTTACAATTTGAACCCAAAGAATAATGACTGCAACCAATTAAAACATTGTTTAATGTTTTTTAAAGTGAGTCTAAAAGAGTGATACAAAACCACAAACAGAATTCATTCTTCCCATTGTGAGTGGTAACTACGGCTCCTATAAACGTAACAGCACTTACTACCTCCTGCTAGTATATTCACTTACTGTGTCACTCCCCTCCCACCTCCCAGCTTCCTTGGCAGGAGTAAGATTTCATCTGCCAGCTTGTCACTCTACTATCCCCAGATCTCAGAAAAGTGCCTGGTTCACAGCAGGTTCTCAAATAAGTGGCTGCTAAGTAAAATTAACTAGTAAGTTCTGCCCAATTTTATGTGGCTGTCCCATGTGGTACAGGCATGCTAAAACCATAAAACTGACAGGGAAGCTATAATCATCAAAATTTAAGATTTACACTACTACAACACAATCTTCCATCCCTCAGCTTCACTTTCTATGTACAATAAACTTGTAGAGTGGTGGTACAGTGTGTGTCTGTTACTTTCTTATGTAAGTTGCAAATAACACCAATAATATGGGTTTTTTTCTCTTTTTTAAATCTTTGAAGCTATAATTGATTTTGGACTTTTGAGGTGGGTGATTGATTCATTGTCTCCCTTTTATAGAGAACAAACAATGCAAAGTTACAACACATTTTTCAGGTTCTAAAACAGAAACATCTGCAACTTTTTTAAACTTCAAAAAGTGCTACAGGTTGTCATATTAAATGCACAATGAACTGTGGGTTAAACAACATCTCCGGGAATTTTTTATGAAAAAGTAAACAACTAACTTTAGGAGGAGGTTCAAGAAGAACCCCGTCTTGGGGATGAGTTGTTACTCCTCTCGCTCTGATTAAAGACTAAAGGCACCTGTGTTTTCAGTACAACCTTTACCGGTTACATAGGCACAAGTGAAGCACTGTGAAATAGAAAGCAGCCACACTAATCTGAAGAAACTTAAGGTAAGCTTTGGGAGAATGGCCTCTTTAGGCCGTAGGCAGGTCAGGGGCCACATCAGAGCAGAAGGTCCTTGGCAGTCGAGGTCACTGAGCCCTGTCAACCTTCCTCTGGAGAACTGTGTCCACACTCCCCCAGCAGTGTACAGAAAAGGATAGCACAAGCTGCACTACTCACACCTCCCTGCAGCCAGGTGGAGGACGGTCAAAGGGAGGACCACAAGAGAAGCAAAGGGAGGCCTGAGTGCCTCCTCAGGGGCCTGAGAAGCCATCCCTGAGGCAGAACGGAACCAACTGAGTTTGTCACTCTGTTTTGAAAATGTGAAAAATTCACGAGTTCAAGAGTCAGATGAAAGGTGCAGGGCTCACATTTGTCAACATGATGGAGAACATTCTTTGTAGGAAACGGAAATAGATTTGGTCGCTTGATATGACGTGTGGCAGACAGGCATACTTCTGCAGCAGCTTCTCGTGGGTCCTCCACTTCAGAGACGCTGCAGCTCGCTGCTCAGCGGCCGTGAGTGCTGGAATTAAGTCAGGCAGAGAAGACAACTGGGAGGAAACACAGGAAGATGCCGCGATAGCCAAGTGAATCACATGCAGCGTTCAGGCTGAGAACGTGCAGCGCTAAGTAAGACTTATGGTACTAGAAATCAGGGTTCTGGAGACCGACTCAGCATTCTTCCTGCCTGATTCATTACCGCAGCTATTTGTTGTGACCAAATAAGATTTGTTCTTACTGTCAGCAAGCTCCACCCTTCTAAATTCCTCACTACTTATTACTCTTGGGAAAATCATTTAATACTGAAGATATTAATACAGATTTCAAAGGCAATAGGGAAGGGTCATGACAGTATAAGAATTGTAGTGGAAATTTAAGCTGCTCAAACGTGAGCTGACTTTGACAAGCCACCTCCTGGTGTGGCAAATCACTATTTACTTATTCATTCATTGTAAAAGTAGTAAGTTTATTGGTTAAAAAACGCTGTTTGAAAAGTGCCTTCCTTCTTGCATTTTCAAATAATTTGCACACTTCATACAGCAGAAACATTGGAAACCAGAAAACAGAAGAGTATATGGCTTTTTGTACATTTAGGGGAACCACAGACTTGGAAGGTTTCATTCCTGGGGAAATTTGGGTGGAGGGTACCTATGGCTTCTTGGCTTTCTGATGCCTGGGAAATAAACAGTAATTCAACAAGGGTGCTTAAAATGTTTCAAATCATTGTCAATATCTATGGTGACTCTCCCTTACTCTAAATTTGTGAGCCAGCTGAGGATCCACTACCCACCATTTGTTGATCCTCCAGACACAGCACAGCAGGTGGGACACTCACCACCCCAAGGGGCAAGCACTATTTTAAATGTTTTCCTGACATTCTTCCACACAATCCTGCAGAGTAGGAGGACACTGATGAAGTTCAAAAACATGTTTGATGGGTGGGAATTACCTTATTTTCTTGAACACTGCTTTCTCCACCAGTGGACATAAGTTCCAAGATTTCTGGAAGATGATCTATAAGAGCATCTAGTACCTTTTAATAGAAATATTGGTTACTCTTACAGTGATCGCTATCATTTTTCTAAATTAGTTGGCTTCACATGTCAGTTTCTACATAGAAATAGCCTTATTTATCAAACAACATCTTGGGGGTTTCTATTTTCTTCCTCTGCCATCTTTTTGCTGGAAAGACTTAGAAAGATTTTGCCTTGATAAGTCTACTTAGAAAAAAGAGACAGGTGCCCTGCTCTTGGCATTGTCCAGTCGAAGCTGGAGATGGGTACTTGTATCTATTTAGCATGCTTCACACTGCCTCCAGACTCTGGAAGGACTCTGTGTCAGGAGGTCTCAGCAATGCGTCCAGCAGCGTCACAATAGTGATGAGTTATCTGCTAGCTATAGTCATTTAGGTGAATGGGAAAGACTAAGAGAGCATCAAATTGAAAGTATTTCAAAGTTTTCATAAGTATATACTAGAAGATAAAATACTCTCCAAACAATATAAAGAGGAAAACGCAGACTATAATGTATGAGTATGATTGTGTAAAATAAAAACTTTACATCGAAAAGTAAAAAATATAACAAAATAGTAACAGTGATTAGAATTAAAGGGACTCTTCTGACTACTTTTTCGCACTTCCTAAATTTTCCTTAATAAACAAACACACATTTCCTTTTTAAAGCTCAATATATTTTAAATCCTACTTTTTTTAAAGCTCTCCCAACTCCCAGGCTATGATACATTGATTTGAAGCTTTGAGACTAATCAGTTGAAGGAGTCCTTGCAAGTCTCAAGGAGGGAGAAAAGGCATTGGTAAACTTGTACTTAACATAAAAGAAGAAAAAACCAAAAAAAGGTGAGACAATATTACCTCCAGTGACTCATCTTGTAATAATGCTAGCAGTTCTTTGTGTATTAAATATACTCCGGAATTCAAAAGTTTAGACACCTAAAATATAGTAATAAAGTCTCTCAGATTTGAGACTACTTAAGATTAAAACAGTAACTTTTAAAAATATCTTTGCCAGATGCTTCTAAAATAAAGATAGGTTACAACATAAATGTATAATTAGGTTTCTAGAATACTTAATTGAATAGATAGCCAGTCTTTTAAATCTGCTTCTTAACATGCTGGACGCTGGGATAGGCGCATAAGGGGTAGGGAAGTATGGAGGATGGGATTATAGAGTCAGAACTTCCTCCTAACAAGCAACAATAAACCCATGGATGCCTGTGGTTCACACTCAAAAGTCTGAGAGCAGCCCACAGGGGGCTAATGGATAGGATATAGGCCTTCTATGTTAATGGCCTTTAGTGACATCAGGGTAGTCATAACTCCCAAGGATGCAAACTGACTTTCCTTATCCTTATCAAAAGCTTTAATCAACATGAGAGGAGTTGGGAGATTCCAAAATAACCAAGCTCCCCTTGAAAACAGTGCCCACCCCCAACAAACTCAGAGCCCGAAATGGTGGATTCACCAGTTTCTTCTTTACCTTTGAAAGGGAAAACAAATTTTTAAATATATTGAGCACTTTTTTATTTAAAAAAAATGGTTCCGGGAGAAAGGAAAGTGACCTTCCCTTAACAACATACATGCACATTATCTAGGAGGCTCTGCTGGGCAGTGCCTGCTACCCTTTCCCCTCCTCCAGAAGCAGGTATCTCCAGGTATGTTTACAAAGATGATTTGACTGTGCAACACTGGAATCAACTTAAGGAACTATACCATTTAAGGGGAATATTTCCCATATTTTGTACAATGTACATATATTTTACCCATTTCAGGAAAACTGTGATTTTCCTCTCTGCAAAATAGCTAAAGCCAAAAGGACTGAGGCATGGCTCAAGCAGTAGAGCACCTGCCTAGCAAGTGATAGGCCCTCACTTCAATCCCCAGTATCACCAAGAAAGAAAAAAGAAAAACTGATTTTATTTATATATCTACCACAATACCTGACTTAAAGTTTTAGTTTAGATATACTGAACAAATATGTTAATAAATGAAAAAATGAATACAATGTATTTATGTAAATGAATTCTGTGAACACACTAAAAACGGGAGAATTATGGGACTTTTAAAGTAAGATTTTGGAAATAGATATGGAATCTGCATCTTATGACAAATCTGTAAGCAGAAGTGTACAAAATATCACGAAAACATCTAGTACACACAGAATTAACAATAAATGCATAGTGGTATCAATCTTCAGACTTACTTCATAAAAGCAAATAGCAATAGTGTATCTGACTGGTGCTTCCGGGTCATGACACAGGCAGAAGAATGTAGAATAGAGTTCCATGTGGAAGTTTTTAGGATCAACAAAAACAATCATGGCCTGGTGGAGGCAGAAGGGAGGAGATGAATGAGAGGGAGAGAAAAACATGCATCAATTCCTATTATTATAATCATTTCACTTCAACTGAAATCATATCGTCTAGTCATCGTTTAATTGGAAATCACATTTGGAAGATCCAAATGCATGCACATAATTCTGACTTACAGAGAGAGGCAGACAAATTCCACAAATGTTTATGCAGTACATTGTGTGCATACCAGATACAATGCTAAGCCGCAAGTGCCAGTATGGCAATATTTTTAACACTGTCTAGTCACATATTTTAAAGTTACAACTAACATGCTCAGTAAATATAAATATACAGTGTTACCGGAAAGTTATAGGCACAGTTCTTCCGTACTGAAGTATATTTCTTCTCCTGTTCAAGGATTTGGGGTGGAATCTGGTTTTCAATGTGTCCATTTTCCTGTTGCAAACCCAATGTACAAAGTTTCTTATAAAACTCCAAAAACCTCAAATGTTGATCTGGAGTAAAAGTTCCTAAAAGAAATTTAAAGCCTATGTTCAACATTTCCACTGAAAACAAACAAACGAATGAAAATCAGAGTATAATAAAAGCATGTTTGGAACCAAATAAATAAATGATCACAGATAGTTCATAAATAAACATGAGGAAGAAAGAACTATTATAAAGAAATCTCACAGGTCATATTTTCTCACCTATGTTCATTTTAGTAATATTTTAATTTCAACTTCAAAAGTATGGACTACATAATGCAGGAAATATGCCAGTATTAATTCTGCAGCTTATAGAAAACTTAACAGTCACTACAATAACAAAAATACTGTGGCTACTTATACATGTTGCTATTTATTTCTGGTACATATTCTAATGTTGCATGCAGAAAAGATACGTGCATATGTCTGCAGAGAAGGAGTTTAAGACTCGAGCCTGAAAAGATGGAAAAGTGAATTGAAAATATTTTTGATCAAGGGACTGGTTCCCCATTCATCAACTATCTCAGGGAGCTAGGGATCTGTTACATGATGTGAAATGTTTTTCAACCATGGACTGTGTCTGAAATCCACATCAATAGTGTGTCATTATGCTAGAAGGTTATTATTTTCAAATGACTATAGTAAGAACTAACATGTTCAAAATGCCAAGACTCATGAGTATTATTCTACATTCTAAGATGCACTTGTCACATGATTTGTTTATTATTCAACAATGGTTAGGAAGGGAATGCTTCCTATGCACAATATACACCAGAGCTTCTATTATCACATACTAACTAATACAAAAGAATGCCATATCCAGAAATTTAAAGGTCTAAGTAATTTCTAAATACTCTCTAAATTATGTTATCAAAATTCTAAGATCTCATAACATTTTGCACACTTGAAGGATAGGTTTTACAACTGAAGAACTGAAGTGCAGTGGTTAAGGTAAAAAGAGAAAAAAAGAAAAATTATCAACAGTCTTGAAATTCTTAGTATATATCGTACCATATAGTCCATGGCATAGCTTTCCTAAATGGAAAGATAAAGAAATAAGAATTGATTCATCTGCTTTGAAAGACTTTTCACAAAATGATTTTACTAAGGGAAGTATTGTTTGACTTCGGTCATCTGAAAAACAAAACAAAATATGCATACATTAGATCCACTTGTCCACACTACACATGGGGAAACTGGTACACACACAAATTCCATAAAGAAAAATTCCTATGTTAGACTCACAGTGGTAGGAAGTACCAGAAAACTGATGCTGTAGGAGGTGATGAGGAGGGGTAGAGAAGGGTACAATCATCAAGAATACTGTGAGGCTGGGGAGCCTGAACATCTACTGTGGGCCTCAGGGGACGGAATACAGAATGGCTACCATTAAAAACCTACAGTGACTGAGGTTTGCAGTCTGAATAACTAGAAGGTTCTAACATCCTTAAAATGAATAGATGAGTATCAGGCCCAGGGAACTCTTCTAATTTCCTCTAAATTCATCTCTTACCCTGCTGCAGCTCAAGCTCATTTTATCATTTTTATTGAAAATGGTTTATAATATAATCTGTATACTGAATTTCTACACTTTTGCTTCTTAGATAGCTTTACAAAGTTGACTCATTCATTAAGTACATCTGCTTAGGTCACAAGTTTCTGATATATTAGTAATATGTAAGTGTCACATCTACTCTTCAATTAGGCACAGTATGTCTAATTTGGGTCTAACAACACTGACATAAAAGCTTCAATAGGCCAATGGTGTTGTCATTCTTACTGTAACTATAACCATCACATTTCAGGCCATATCTTCTGTTCTTATTAAGCAATACTCATCCAACATTTCTTGACTTTTTTCCAGAACAAGCATTATACTAAGCAGTACAAATAGGAAAATGAGCAAATAATAAAAGGTCTCAGAACGTGAGAAACAAGTGAGCAAAGAAACCAAACACAAAAAGTGTAGACAATATGACCACCATTTTAATAGCTGGTATAAGACAGGGGTCTGAAAACCACGTTTGTAGACTATCTGTCCCAAACAAGTGAGCATGACTATAATCCAATAAACTTTACAAAAAAGACAGGCCAGAGTATGCTGTAGGTAGAAATTTGCCAATCCATGTTCTAAAGGATGTGGAAAAACATCAGAGAGGAACCATATTTGAATAGGCACTGTACACAAAAGAAAAGTTGGCTAGGATTGAAGTCGAGGAATGGGAACACCAGGAAGAGGAGTGTGAGAAAGAATATAGTGATAGGATCTGAGCACTACAGTGGGACTAAGGCACCAACACAGGGAAGGAGTGGGAGGAGGGAAAGCCAGATCAGATCTTGGTAACACAGCCTGGGGCAGTGAAGGGGAAGAGATCACAGGTAATGCTAAAGTCTCTGTCTGCAGTCTGGGGCTGACCCAGTGTTAGGACCAAAGAGATTTACTCAAATACATGTCATGTACTACAGTTTTTGCTCCTTTGGTTCATCATAGTAGCTAAATGATTATTCTGCAATATTTATACATAATTATTACACACATTGCAATAATAAGAGGTTCTTCTAGTTCAAACAAAATGTTAGTAATCCCAGTGAATGTAATGCTACAACTACACAATTAAGTTTCACACGTAAGTGAAACTCAAATTCACCTTATCAAGATGGTTAAGGCTTACTGATAAACTGTTTATCACTATTTTATCACTAAAACTATCACTGTTTTAGTGAAGGGTGTACTAACTCAGTACAGAACTAGTAATTTCTGTGACTTGATTTGCATAACACTAAGAAGTAATTCCTCACCCATTCCCAAATACCTCATCCCAGCTTTCTCCTCCCCTGACCAGATTTCCAGCATTAAAAGATTAAGGAGAAGAAATTCATTTAGAAACTGATATAGGCAAGATCTAGCTTAACATCAATGAGTTGAGGAAGTTGAAGTCTACTTTCCAAGCCAGATTCTTAGTCCTAACCACAAAAAGAGAGAGGAGGCAAGGCTTAACATTTATCATTAAACTTAATGCAAAAACTTCTGAGTCTACTTCTACTTATTGCTATTGATACAAAACATATGGAAAAATACTGTTTCAAAAGCAAAACTGTGTGCATATGAAGATTTACCTGTATCAAATAGGTCAAGCAGGTTAACCAAAGTTTCAAAAGCTGCAAGTCGTACACTGCTGCCTTCATCCCTAGAGAGTTCTATTAATTCAGGGAGCACCACACTTTTTGTAAGTTCTGTCCTGCACAATAAGCCACAGAAGAAAATAAATAAAATTAATAAACTTAGAGTAAGAATGTAAAAACCAGAGACTTGACTAGCTGCTGCAGAGAATATGAGAAAGCATCAAGATTTTCTGCTCTCTAGAAGCCTGTGGCCTGGGTGGGAAAGCAGATGGCAGTGTAAGAGACACTAATAGTAGCTGCAGAAGTATTAGGTCATAATACTGTTGCCTACAGAGATTTTAATGACTTATGAGTTCACAGTAAACTTTATACACTGACAATTTATAAGTAGTCTTTTCCATTTGAAGCAACTTTAGGAAACGATCCAGCTAACTAGAAAAACTATCAGCAGTAATTGCAAAGACTCAAACAAAATCTTTTGATCTAGATTTTAGGATATAAGTTAATTTTTCCTTCAAATAAAATATGACATTACAACAACTAATTCCCATACAGATGCATGATATATGATGAAGCATAACACAAATGTTTTTAGGGAATATAAAATATTTATAACACAATCTCAAATGGTTCTTATTCAACATAGTAATTTGTTCTTGCTTATTCCTCACAAAATATCATTGCAATGGCACAGACTGTGATAAACCAGTCTTAAGATGTGACCAGCTTTCTTGCGTACAGATGGAAGACAGAATGAATTCCAATTGACAGAGGCTGATAGAATTCAAGAGAGTCAACAGAAGGTATTCTTTAAGTCTTCAGATGAAACCTTGAAGTTTTCTTCTATACTGTCTGCAATTATTGCACCTGTTATGTCATGTGACCACTACATTGTGAACATCAGCTGCTCAAAATCTCTAAGCAATTTCAAAAATTTATCTTTTCTTTCTGAATTCTGACAGGGCTAATTCATCTTCTATATCATTGATTGACTACAATTTTTAATCCATGACTATTTACTAAGCTTATTTGAATTTGTTCATCCCATTTTTAATTTTTAAAAATAATTCTTAACATTAACTAGGTTTAAATTTTTCCTTGCAGCTGCCTTTTTTATCTCAGTATGTCTCACCATCAAATTCTCAATCTCATTTTATATCAAAGGGATTTTAAATAATTTTTGAGGCTGGGCATGGTGGTTTACGCCTATAATTCCAGCTACTCTGGAGGTTGAGACTGGGAGGATCACAGTTAAGTGCCAGACTGAGCAAAAAAAGCTAAGCATCTCTATCTCAACAAATAAGGTAGACATGGTGGTTCACATGTGTAATACTCACTACATGGGAGACTTAGGTAGGAGGACCATGGTCCCAGGCCAGCCCAGTGAAAAACTGAGACTCTATCTAAAAAATAACCTAAAACAAAGGGGGCTAGGAGATAGGGGTATAGCTTAAATAGCCAAGTGCTTGCCTAGCAAGCACAGTGCCCTAATTTCAAACCCCAGAACCACCCAAAAAATTTTTTTGGAAATAGTTTTTTTATAATACTTTATAAGTAGTTCATTAATTTTCCTCTATTTGTTAGAGTACAATTTTAATTTTGGTTCTGTTTTCTTGATTGTTATTGGGAGGTGTAGAAACTTTAAGGGGAGGGGCTAAATGTAAGGTTTTCTGGTCTGTGGGGTACACCCTTCAAGGGGATAGTAGACCTCTGCTTCTTCCTTTTTTTACTTCAAGGCCATGAGGTGAAGGCTTTGCTCTGCCATGTGCACCCCACCACAATGTGCTGCCTCACCAAAAGTCCCAATAACTACGGACAAAAACCTCCAAATCCTTTAGTCTTCAAAGTTAGTTGTCTCAGAGATTTGCATCAGAATGGAAAGCTGACTAACAGAAATAGCAATCAAGTATTTGCAGTTTTTAACTATCACAACAGGGAAGTCTTATGACTATGTTCTTACCAGGGCAAAGAACTCAAAGTTAAGTAAAAGTGTATATAATCAACCAAAGTACCTTCTTAATTGGATTCTAACTTAACAAGCTAATTTTATGTTTATAAATTTATCCTAAATTTCCTAAATTAATTTTCAGAAAACTAATTTGAACACATTTGATCCTATTTTTGACTGTAACAAAATGTCAGATGACAAAAAATAAAAAATGCCTATTTCATATCTTGATATTAACTTTTTTTTTTTTTTTTGCAGTATTGGGGTTTGAACTCAGGGCCTCACGCTTGCTAGGCAGGCACTCTACCACTTGAGCCTCTCCACCAGCCCTTATATCTTGATAAAGTGATTGAAGCAACACTATGTTCTCCTAATAGTTTTGATTATGACTCATAAGCACAGACCTGAGCAAGATTACTTATGGTTCACAGTGCCCTAAAGAGTCACCTAGACTTATAAGACCTATTGCAAAGAAGGTGGTTCTAAGATCAAAATAATCATTGCATCATTAAGCTTCCAACACTTAAATCCTACTTAGCAAGAGTGGACAGAGGACAGTGAACAGTACTATGCCCTGGGTCTGCATGATAGTGACATCCTAAAGCTTTTCAAGGCCTTAAATATAAGCCCAAGCTTAAAAAAAAATCAACAGTGGTACAAAAGGCCACAAGCTCACTGTCCTCAAATACCCTTATAATGCCTGCCACCATACCAGGCACATTGCCTTTTATCTCTTTTAATCTAGATACATCAGGAGGCATTTATGATCATTTTGAAAGATCACATAAAGCATAGCTTTCAATAGCATGCTTTCATGGAATACAGGACAGGATATGTTTATGTGACAATCCAGAAATAACACTATGACATAAGGAATTAAAAGTGCACTTACCCAATGCCCTGAGCTATATTTTCTAACTGCCGACACATACAAGATCGAACCTCATATTCTACATCTTGACAGAGTGATTTTACCAGGGGAAGTATTTCTCTTTTAATGCTGAGGGAGCAAAGGAAAGAAACATGCAAATGGGTGAATGTTTCACAATAATTAATGTTTTTCAATGATTATCAAAAGACTTTATGATTTATAATGTATTTTACACATGTCATTAAATTTGGAGTTATCAAGTAAAGTATAATGATTAATTTTGGATTGGTAAGTAAATGTGAATAGCTAACACAAGAGACTAGAAAATCAATTTGGACACTCTGGACCCTCCTATTGTTTGGGACAGTATGAAATATCTGATTTTGGAAACCGTCAAAAATATTCTTTAGCTTTCTATTTTCCTCTTGTGCTGTAATTATGCAACGTGTCAGTGCTTCTGTCCAGCATGCACCGTTTGGGCAGAGAGCAGCATATAGACTATAAACATGGTCCATATGAGGTTATTCAAAATAATAATGTAAGAAAGTAGGAACTCTATCTTTATATCATGGTTACTAACTTTGTAAGTCCTAAGACAATGCTATTTTATCCTCAAATATAAACTAGGTACAGGATGGGGAAGACCAAGATGGGTAGTAGAAAATAACCTTATTGGTCCTGAAAAACCATGACATTGAGAAGAAATGCTTCTTAATAAGTAGTTTCCATCTGGGAATTCCATGTTAAAATAGCGACACTTATATGTAGTAAGTACAGAATAACACAAACCTAATGTAACTGTCAACATACGTAAATCACACATTTTAAATCTATTTAATTAAAAAGACAAAAATATACACAAATACTCACGTATGGACATCAAATTTGTTGGTCAGTTTTCCTAAAATTTTACAACTAACTAAACGAGACTGGACAGTTTGGGAAAGCTGTGCCCTGGAAACAAGCGGATTCAAAATCTAAAGGGAAAAGATTCAGAGAACAAATTCACAAAGTTTCATACACTCTTGTCACGAATGTCAGCTATTTTCTTCAAAGAGTATTTTAATGTTCTAGATGTTTTTAAAGCACTTGAATTATAATGTGAGGTTCATGATTGCTCAAAACCTGGATCACTTTTGTCTTCTTGGTTAAGGAAAAGATGATGGTAAATTATGCAATTAAAGGCAATTTGAGACAAAAATGGAATGCAAGCTCGTGGTGAATTCTGCAATGATCTGAATGTATACAAAGTATAAATTTGACATAAACATTTTCAACAGAGGGAAGCAAATTAGTTATCAGCTACTCTAAAATCATTTTTATTCCATATTGATTAATTTTTACATTTATTCTAATGAGATAGAAAACAAATAAATTCTGCTTAAGTAATTCTGTCATTTGAAAATGAACCACGTCTGACAATGTATTATGCATCTGCCAGGTGCTCAAAACTCAACAGCATGACAGACTGCAAAGAACTATGAGGATGGATCTCCCACTCTCATCCTGGCTCCTTCGTTTGTCCAAGTACCCGTGCTATTTATCCCTCAGGTTCCTCATCTACTCATGGAAATCAGAATGTGCCCTACTAAGGTCTCTTCACCCTCTAAAATTCTATGACTTTCGTACAAGGGTCACGTATGGACTGTTTCATTTCCTCTCAACAAACTAGGCAGAATTACTGAATGTGTGCACAAATACAACTTAAAAGTGAAAGGTCTGAAATAAAATACGCATTCAAAAATCTTAAAATGTACATGTTAAAATACATAGCATTATAGAGTAAAACGTGTATTATAGCGCATACCACTCTTCAAAAAATGTAAACATCACGTCTCCACATTATGTTCAATAAATACATTAGATGCTTGCCATCACATAAACAAACATTCTAGATAAATCTTCCCATTTACAAGAAACCATTCTGGCATTGCTGATAGAATCACAAATTATATGAGGGCAAAGAAAGGACAAAGACATTTAATGAAATCATTAGAGGACATTTCATTACTTGGTAACTTTTTTTTTCCAACTATGACATATTTGAAAAGAAATATATATGGGGATGTTCAAAGAATGCAAAATCATTTCATCAGATTATAAATCTCCTTTCTGCTTTTTCTATTCTCTTAACTTAAACTTTTCAAGAGGTATATACTGATGAAAATTAAAAGGCAAACAACAAATTGGGAATAATACTTACAATAATATTTGTGAACTTAATAAGAGATTGGCAACCTTATCAGGTAAATGGCATACACAAACAGTGCTTGAAGGGCAGGATCAGACAATTCCAGAACTCATATGAATACAACACATGGAAAAATAGTCAAGAGTATAATTTTAAAATTCTGATTAAAATATAATTCTATCTTTAGCTCATCAGTTAAATTAGAACACCATTCGTAATACAGCCCAGGGACCATTTTCATATATCATTAACCAAGAGCTTAAAAATATTAATGCCCTCCAACAGAATAACTCCACTTTTCTGGAAACTACAATTACAGAAATTATCTGAAAAACTGGAGAAGCTCTACAGCAATATTCCTTAAGGTCTTACCAGAAGAGTAAAATTTAAGACAGAAAACGTTTAACAAGCAAATAATTTGTAGCTACTACCAAATGAGTTTAAAATGAAAGAAGAAAGTAATGCTAAATAGAAAACAATCATATTCAGATTCAATATTATTACTAATATGGCAAGCAGCAACCCTGTATAGGAAAAAATCTGAAAGGAAATACGTAAGAATCTTAAAAGTGACCAAATATAGGGCTTGGGGGAGGAGGCTCAAGTGATAGAGCATCTCCCTAGCAAGTGTAAGACCCCAAGTTCAAACTAGTACCACCAAAAAGTGCCCAATTATAGAATCATGAATTATTTTTCTTCTATTTTCTGTATAATTCAGATTTTCTACAATGATCATATTTGCTTTCAGAATGGGAAACAACTTTGTTCTTTTTTGAAAAAAAATTTGACAAAAAATGAGAGTGATTTATTAGTATTTACAAAAGCTAGTATTACCTCATGTCTCAGGGTTTCTTTTGGCAACACTTCTATCACAGACAGAAGGGTTTCCAGCCATGCGTTGCTGACACCTGATGGACACAGATACAACATGCTAAAACTGTCTCACTAGCAAATTCTGTTTCAAGTCACTCATTAATAGTTACAGTGGCATTTAATGATAAAATAAGAATAATTATTTTATTACTATTTTAAGAAGTTTTTCTATTTTTCATCTTAGCCAACATTTTAGAAAACATTTATATATTCAAAAAGAATTTGGGGAGGACAGCTTTAACTCAAAATGTGGTCCTCTGCTGTATAATACTGTACATAAATGTAAAAGAAATAAATCTAAGAGGAAAGTATAAATCAAAAGATGAATCAATGCTTCTGCTTTCAAAGACACTGCATTTTGTGGGTTTTGTAGGGAAACAGCCACGGCTATTTTGTTACCCTGCTGCTCCGTTCTTAGCCTGGACTCATTCAGTTTTCTTCATCAGGCTCACAGAATGCAAACAACACTATGACCATTTACAGGAAACCATAAACAAATACATAATTATGCAGGGTTCTGACCTGCATCCCTGTGCTCCAGGTGCAGCAGAATGACTTGCAGGAAGGAGTGAGCATAAGAGTGGACTGACACTGATTCTTCCTGCAGAATGGTCAGAAATGACACCGCAGCTGTTAACTGCATTTCCACACTTGCAACAAGCAGGGCTTCCTGCATAATCAGAAAGAGATTGCTATTTAAAGAGATGAGAGGTCAGAAGGCATAATTTTTAAAAATCTAAGGTTACGGAAACCAAACAGTTCACTGCATATGAACTTTAAAGACATGTACTTCTTATTACTTTATTTAAGAGAACTATGTTAACCTGCTCCTAATATTTAATTTATTAACATTTAACTTATCTCATTAACCCTAAATGTCTTAAGAACTTATAAATGACATTCCATTGCTTTACTCAATGAAAATTACAAACAGTACAAAAACCTTTATACAACAGATTATGCTACTGATATTATGCAGACATCCTACCTGGAATAATAATATCAAAACTCAGACAATCCTATGTCTTTTCATTACCTGTATTTTTGCTTTGAAAATAAACATTATGCATTCTACTCTGGAAGAAACCAGAGAGTGTATAAATATAGTTTCCCCCTCCAACAACTAATAAGAACATAAATTGCCATGAACTGAACAATTTAAAACAGCTTCTTAAATATAAGAATGTTTTTAAGCAATCAATTATATTAATCACATCTCCACTCACCATTTAAAGAACTTAAAAATGCATATCCAAATTCAAAGTCTGCACAAGTTTTTACATATCAAAGAGCCAAAAATCTATGCAAGTAAACCTCATCAAAGAAATGACATCTCTGGAAGTGTGTGTGTGTGTGTGTGTGTGTGTGTGTGTGTGTGTGTGTGTGTGTGTGATGTAAAGGTAGCCAGAGTACTTTTGTTCCATCAGTTATGGAAAATATGAGAATTTCCTTTGTATGCCTATTTTATAATTAAAAGAGCAAGTGGTTCCTAGACCATTAAGGTACTTCCAGTCATGAAGTTTCATTTCTGTGATTTTACAAAAACAAATTTTTCTGCATTATTTTCTTACATATAAAATATGAATTATCGCATTGTCCCAACAGGGATTTAAATAATTTAAATAGCTTTTTATGACTTACCAACCTATTACAAGAAATGAGCATTTAAATAATGACCGTTTTATATCCAACTGTCTTTCTCTGCACTCACTTGGATAACTAGCAGGAACCTCACTTTATCCACATCTTAACTGATCTCTTCCCCAAACCTGCTCCTGCTCAGATCGTCATCTCAGAAAGAAGCAAATGACAGCTCTACCCTTCTAGCTGCTCAGCTGGACCCAAAACTTCAGGGTCCTTAGCTCCTTTCATTCCTCATTCACCCTAATCTAAACCCTGAAGGATCTACCTTCAACACATATCTAGAATCTGACCACTTGTCACCTCTACCACTGCTACCCTAGTCCAAGCTACCATCCTCTCCAGCCTGAATTATTCTAATAACTTTATCTAGCCTTTGATTCTGCCAGTGCCCTCTGCTATCTATTCTCCCCAGAGTAGCCAGAGAGACTTTCTTAAGAACTAAGTCAGTTTATGTCACTTTTCTGCTCAGAATTTTCCAATGGCTTTTCTTCTTGCTGAAAGGCAAAGTCCTCTCAGTGACTTACAGATCTGTTCTCAAGTCTTACTTTGCCAGTTTTCCACATAGTGGCTCTCGGACCTCTCTTAAGCTTCTACTCAAATACTGTATTTTCAATGAATCCTTCCCTGATGACCTTATTTAAACTAAAAGCCGCCCTCTATCCCATCTCTCAGCACCATCCCTACAGGTTTATTCCTTGCAGTTGTTCATTTGTCCATGGTCTGTCTCCCCCAGCCAGAACATGACTGCAGGAACTTTTGTCTGTTTGCTCACTGCTGTATCCCCAACTGCAAGCATACATCAGGCATCCAGTAATTGCTAGATGGCCAAATAACTCTTATCCTTTCACCTAAGTTATCTCCCTTCACACATTTTCCACATCTCCTAAAAGGTGGCTTCAAGGGATTTTGAGGTGAGTCCTAAAGATTAGGGATTGGCAGAGTTAGAGAGAAGGTAAAGCAAGATGGATCACAGAGATCAGTATTAGCAGTCCTCTTTCTATTGTACCCATAGGGAGTTTCTCCAGCCATGTTTTGCCCCAGCATCTCTGTCACCATGATTTATACCCTATACCCAGACTCCTTGTTTCCACACAGTGAAACCACTGCCAGTCATCACATGGGAGACTACATACCTAGTTTTATAGCAGAAGGAATACCAGAGCAGTGAAGTATTTTGTTGACGGCCAGTGAGCTAATAACTGACAACTCTACAATTTAACCTTTTGCCCAATGGAAGCCAAAGCACTGCTAACTGACTTCTATCTCACAGATCCTGCATGTCCATTCAACACTGATCGACACATGGCTTAAACCAATCCTATGTCTTCACAGGGTACGGTGGGAGATCTGGCAGTGGCCTTTGCTGTGGCAAACATTATGTGTTATGGTTAACTCCCAGAAAGCCTATCACATATTTGGGTGGCTAGTTCTTGTTTTGTTTTGTTCTAAGTTTTTGTATCACATGCACAAATATTATTTTACAAGTTTTTTCAACCAACAGTCAATCATGTATCCTAAGAGTTCTTGGCTGAGAGAAAAAGAGAAGGAATGATAAGGCATAAAACAATAACTGAAATCTGAACCTAATCTTCCCATCTCCCTTGCTATACTGTTTCCAGAACAAACATTTGTTCCACACTAAAAATTTGGAATTTGGAAAACACTTTTCAAAGATCTGATGTGGCCAGCGTACGTCACTTACAGGTTTTAGAAGTCATAGCTTTTATTTAGGAACAGAACGGTTTTTGCAAAAAGGATTAAAATAAATTGTGAGGGCCACAGTGTACATTCCAGTTCACATGAACCTGCTGTTTTAAGTTCCAAGAGCTGTGTTCTGCCCCCTATGTCATTAAGTCCTGGGCTTGCACATATGCCAACTGTATGCAAAGAACATGAAGAGCTCTCCGGCTTCATTCTTCTTACTGTATGACTTAGTCTTGACTCCCGCAGCAACATTTGCCCCAACTATTTTGCATTTAATTTTCGAAAAATCCTCAAGTCTTATCAGGATTTGGGTTTTTCTCTTGTTGTGCTGACTTCAACATCTGGAACTGTCCACTGTTAAGAAACCAGCACAGACTAAGAGATTTTATCACTGCTAAAAAAAATCAATTGATTTCTAAACATATTTTTCTGAACCATAGTACAATAAGCTTGATACTTACCAATAAGTGCTCTCCTCCACAGAGTCACACCCTCTGGACAAACATATGTGAGATCCATACTCTCTGGATAAATAAGTGTGCATCCTCATGGACCTTGGAAGACACTGAAAAGTAAATTCCTCTGTTGCTTAAGTGCATGCCTAGGTCAGTCACCATTCCTCTTACACACTAGCACATGGCGGGCATCCCAACCTGAACTCCTCAGAAATGAAATGAGACATTTGCTACATGAGATAACAGCATATTTCCAAATTTAAAAAAAACTATTCCCATTCAAGGAAGGAAAATGAACATTTCTGTGTTTAAAATTCACTCTTTAGTTAGCATGAATGGTAAAAGAGAGCGTTTTGTATAATACGTTCCTTACGGAAAGGGAAATAGCTCTGCCTCCAGTGAACCTGCATTTTATCCATCCAAAAGATATTTCTCTTCACAGTATACACGGTAGAGAAGCATTACATAAACCACTGCTTATTCCAAATGAGAAAATACCTTGGATTCACACATTCTGAAAGTAATCTTACTGAGGAAAACTGGAAAGCACATTTATGGTAAATGGTACTGGGAACAGGTAAAGGAGCTCTAAAATTACAAAGTGTCTTTGTGTATTGTCAGAAATAGCATCACTGATTCTTTTTAAATAACAGGGGCTTAATTATTAAAATATTGGAGAGCTAGAACCAATCAAATATCTCAGGTACTGGGGGAAATAAATATGGGAATTTTCAATAATTTTATCAATAGCAGTGAAAGTTCTTTTATTATAAAATTATAATATTTATAAAAGACTTTAAACTGAGTTAAAGGTGAATAATTGGAACATGTCAACTCCAAGATACCTTTAACAATTCTGACACTTCATTCTCTTCCCTATCCCGAACTGCCATGTTCCACATCAAAGGAAAGGGAGAGAGAGCTAGCCGAGAGCACAGAAAATCAGGCGAGAGGAAAATAAACTGTAGACAGTGAATGGAAGTAACAAAGGGACTGTCTTTCCCTTCTGTACATCTGCATCTCAGTGATTAAACACAAGGTTCATGAGGAGGTACACATAGAAGTCTCCTACAGAGCCCTTTCCATACAGGAAATACCAATATTGATAGCCACTATTACATGACTACTGCAAATGTGCCATGAAATGCCCTCCCTTGCAAAATCACAAAACAAATGAATTTCAAGACCAAGGTTTTAAAACTGAGCTTTGGAAAGAATATTAATCTAGGTCACTTTTACATTTAATGTTATAATCATGAATAATTTTGTGATTTAGGCTTAAAATAAAAAAGAGCAATTTGAAACTTGCAAAGAATGTATGTTCTTATGAAAGAAATATTGACTTGATGGAAGTGATAGCTATAAACAACTATTTCAAATGATCCCTAAAAGTTAAATTACTTAAATGTTTTGTGAAAAATTATAAACCATTTTCTTGAGGAAAAAGTACCAATGCAAAGTCTGGCAATTTCTATAAGTAGGTAGAAATAGGACTGCTTTTCTAGTCAATCATTATCCTGTGGCCTACCAAACTCTCTCTTAAGTACTCCACTAAAAATCTCATTCTGAAATAATGTAATTTTATTTCATTCACAGTTATTTATTAAGTACCAGTATCATGCTATGGACTCTAGGAAATTGGCAAAAGTCAAGGTTATGGTTCTCTACCTTCAAGTGACTCCTGCCTTGTATATACTCAAACACTCAAGAAATATTCACCCAGTTACATTCAGGGCAGTGTGCAAGGCACTGGAGCCCAAGAAATCAGTAATCAGGAGCAGCAATGCACCGTATGCTCAACAATGCTGCTAATTCTGTCTTTACAATAATGATAAGTGCTAAGGATGAAGAAGTACAAGACACCATGAGGTGACCTACGGTGACCTCTGAGGTGTCAGGGCTTTACTGAGAAGGGACAACTGGCCTGTGTAAAAGAAAGAAATCCTAGACAAAGGGTGGGAAAGGGAAGATAGGAAGAGGAGAAGCTGAGAAAAGAGAGCATATCCAGCACTGGGAAGCAAGGAGAAGCATGCAAGTGAGAGACCTGAAACACCAATCGGTGCACCTGCAGCAGAGAGAGAGAGTTTGCTGAGTCAGTGAGACACACAGCTCAGTTCCTCATGGCTTAGATTATGCTTTAAAATGCTTTCAAATATCATGCTGATTATAAGGCTGAAACTGAATCAGAAAGGAGAGAAATGGGATGGGATGGAAAGGAGGCAGAGGATGAGGATCCCTTGGAAAGAGATTGCACCTGCCTAAGCAAACCTCCATGATAGCTCAGGCTAGGTTCTCTAGTTGGAGAGAAGTGGATGGATTCAAGAAATATTTAAGACATAAAATAAACAGGATTACATGAATAGTAATAGTATAGTGAATAGTAAAAGAACTAATGGTATCAAGGATGGCTCCAAAAATCCCGGTTTGTAAACATGGAGACCACTGATGCACATTAGGATAGCAGACACAGGAGGAAACTCGGGAGTTGGGGAAATTTGGACCTACTAATTCTAAGATGTCTTTAAGATTGATAAGTAGAACTGTAAGCAGAAAATTGTATAAACAAATCTGGCACTCTGAAAAGGGCTACCTAAAAGTAAGTGAGATTACATAGATGATATTTAAAGACAAGGATGTGGGTAAGATTTCCTACAGAGAAAATATAGACAAAAGAAGCAAACTGTACTGTAACACACTTCAATGAAACAAGGGAAATTAAGAACACAACCTGTACATAAGAAGATCCATTGCAAATGCTTCAGCAGAATATTTAATTTTAGATCCTGGACTGCTCCTAACATACCATTAGAAAAGAATCAACTGATCTGTGTGGCTGTGGGAGTGAGGACAGTGTATGGGAAAGGGGTATATGTGTATGCAGAACCTATGCAGAGATACAAATAGAAACACTTGGGGTTAATATTGTTCTGAGATCAAACCAAGAAGGAAAAATAAAAGAACTCCCTCTTTCAGTAATGGCAGACTAGGAAATTTTAATCAACTCTCTTGATAAAGAAAAGTTTAAAAGCTGGACAAATTACAAAAATCACGTCCATAAAGGCACAAGGAAACTAACAAGGTAGTGAAAAGTTACCCATCCAAACAATGGAAATGCAGAAAAGTGAGCAGGTAATTGTGAACCTCTTCTTCCTCTTGGGGTGTTTGCTGATTCTAGATGAGGCTCGTGAGAGATTGAGAGCCTAAAAGACTTCTTTGACAGTCTTGCAGAGGCCCTGGTAAGCCCCTTTGCAATAGGAATAAGAATACTCCTGCAGCAGGCCAGCCTTCACAGGGGAGAGCAGCCCAGCTTTAACCATCCTGGGTTAGTCAGTTTTTCATCACTGTGATAAAATACCTGAGAACAACAGTTAAAGAAGGAAAGATTTATTTTGGCTCATGGTTATGAGATTTTCATCAATAGATGACCAGCTATGGGCCCATGATGAGGCAAAGTATCATGGTATAGAGTGTGTGAAGTAGAGATCACAGAAAAGCAGAGCAGCTCACCTCATGGTAGCCAGGAAACAGAGTTGGGGGAAAGACTAGACACACACCTAGTGATTTGCTTCCTCCAATTAGGCTCCACCTTCCAGTATCCCATTTTGCTATGAACTCATCAATGATGAGATTAGTGCCTCATGATCCAATCACATCTCAATAGGTGACACCAGCTGGGGACAAGCCTTCAACACTTGAGCTTTTAGGGTCATTTTATATCCAAACCATAACACATCCCATACCTGAAATGGGATTATATAGCTGCTACTTCAGTTCAGTGTTAGCCAGAAGAAAACATGTCCCTTTCCAAAAATATCGTGTAGGCATCAAACCACTTCTACAAATAATTTGTCAAATATATGATCAAGCATATAATCAATAATATCCAGGTACATGAGGAGATAAGACAATATGAATGAGAACCACAAAAACAACACATGATATAAATACACCAAAAGGAGCACCAGATGTGATACATGCCTGGTTCAAGAGAACAAAAGATGTAATTAAGATTTCAACAGAGAATTCTAGTATATTTCAAAAGATTGTGGCAGATTTATTAAAGAATTAATAGAAATTCTAAACCAGAAAAATACAATAATCAAAATTAAAATCAGGCTAGGTATAATGAATTATTGAACTGGAAGATGGATCAGGAATGAATCCCAAAATGAATCACAAAGAGAAAAAAGTATGGAAAAGAAGGAGAAACACAGAAGATAGTACGTAAAAGGTCTAATATATGTGAAACTGGAGCATTGCAAGAAGAGAGAAAATTAAACAGAAGCACATTTGAAAAAAATGATAGGTAAGAATTTTCCAAAACTGACAAAATAAGTCTCAGATTTAAGAAGCCAGACATATGCCAAAAAGAAATACATATATGGTCATTGCAAAATCCTATGCCAATGAAACATCTATTTAAAAGGAATGTGAAATACGTCTTGGACAAACACAAAGAGAATTTGTCACCAGCAGACTTAAATAAAATACTAAAGAGTATTCTTCACACAGAAGAAAATATTTGCAAATGGAAATAGTATAGGCAACAAAATGTGATAAATATATAGGTAAATCTCAATAAATTCTGGTATGTAAAGCAATAACAACAGTGATACCTCTGAGACTTGAAACACATAAGGAGTTAAAAAGCTCACAATAACAAATAAATCAGAAGAGAACTAAATGGAGTTAAAGAATTCTGAGGCTCCTGCATTATCTAGGAAGAGGTAAAAATACCAATGAACATTGCATTTGATAACATGTCTTTGTTGTAATGTACAGGGTGACTAACAAAAACAAAGTAAAAGAGTATATAACTTTCAAGCTATAGAAAGGCAAATGAGAAAAAAAAAACACAGCAGTTGTCAAAAAGGCAACTATAGTAAGAAGACAATACACAATTCCTTTAAATATAAATGGATAAAATCTCCTAGTTAAAATAGCATCAGATTTTTAAAAACCAATCATGTTTATGAAATAAAATCTAAAAGATATAGACAATCTACAAATTAGAGGAAGCTATTCCAATATATAACCAATAGAGGAATGTATAAAAAGTATGATCTCATTGGCTATGCCAAAATTTATTTATTCCTCAC